GCGTTCTCTACAGAAAACTAAAGTATTTCTTGGGTATGCTTTTAGTCTGGCACTCCCATAAACGTGTCTGTGATACAGCATCTGTATGGACTAAGAGAGACTGCTGCTGTGGAGGAAGGACTTAGCTTATTACAAGAAGGAGAGAGTTTCTGATAATTTGAAGAAGTGCCCTATAATTATCCTAATTGGATGCCAGTGAACATAGAGTTATGGGCATTGTAGCAGAGCACCATGAGAGAAGAAACTGAGCAGCAGGAGAGAAGAGGCAGCTGTGTGATACGATAGCAGTGTATCAGGATCACGGAAGGATCTGAACTCCAAGAGTGTGCTGTGTTTTTTATATATTGTGTGAAGATGTCATCAAAACCGAGCTGCAAGGAGTAGCTCTTGACATGGATTTATCAGTGACTGTGGAAGGAAGGAGTTTACTTAAAATTCCTGGTAAAACAACACCTCAATTGTGGTGCTTACCACTTAAGGGAAAAAGGCCTTTCCTAATGCTGTTATGGAAGAGCTGGTTTTTTGTGAGGTCATGCTTTCTTGTAAAGGAGGACTTCTTTCCTCATGTTCTTCATAAGTGTCCTGTTTCTTTTGGACGCTGGCTTCTCTGGTGTTTTAGCAGCTCACAAAGCTATCAAAGTCAGAATTATATTTTTTTTCCTATCAAAAAGCATGTGTTTGGGAACACTAATGTGGCCTTACTGCTATCCTTCATTATGGACTTGCAAGAGGGTTTCTGCTTCTCCGATTGCTTGGAGCCTGTCTGCAGGCCATTCGTGCTACTATTTTGAGAGAGTCTGGTCTTAATCTGTATTTTGAATGGATTCATTGTCCATAAAATGGTTCACGTTTGTGCACTGGGCTTGCAAACTATAGATCTCAGAATGCTGTGCAATTCAGGAGGTGGGTAACTTCTGCAGGAGGGGGTCTCTGGCTGCAGGTCAGCCTGATTTTGGGAGATACTTGAGACATCTGGATGACTGTTGGCTCTAGAATTAACAGAGCAGACAGGTACAAAGTCATCCAGGCATCAGGCAATGCAGAACAAGACAGTAGTGAAAGTATTGCTACAGGCAGGAGTTCATTCAGAACGCAGCTGAGTACACCTAACTTAATGCTGTGTGTTAGATTGTCTGAAATGCAAGAAAGCCAGATCTGGTATTTCAATGAATATTAGTGTGTGGAAGGATAGCAGTCTTGTTGTAAAGTTGGGGGCGAGGGGAGGTTAGCAGCATATGTGTGGGTAGATGGAAAATAATTTGTGCTTCAACCTATTTATCCAGCTTTTCAGAGAGATGGACACAAGGCCATCATGCTGGCCAAGGTCATACGAAGCCAAGAGCTGAACTTGTGAACTGGCTTCAAATTAGAAATAAACTCACCTTTAGGTTATTGGGCTTTATTAAGAACTACCTTGCATCATGCCTGTAAAGGCATTTCTGGAACTGTGCTGTAACGGAGGCAGTCGTGTTGGCCTTACAGCCAGTTAAAATCCTGATCCTGAAGTTCTGTTGTTCTGAGACTTGAGTACATAGTCAAGTAGCTCACCAGTTGGAGGAACATTTGGTGCTTCTGTATGTTTTAATGGTATATTAAAAAAAAGTTATTGTCTGTATATCTAAAATATGCATAACTTTGCTCAGAATATCTTTGTTGATGTTCTTCTTGTCTGCACAAAATGCTTGGCAGCAGTCTGAAAGATGGCCAAGGTACTGGAAGGCTCTTTAGCCTTATTTTGTTCTACCTGAGTAAGCAAATAGCTGTTAGAATTCAAAATATCCTATGCTGTTTCCTGGTTGGAGTTTCAGGAATGTAACATGGTAAAGCATAAATAGACTGTTGAGGCCTGTGAAATTTTCAAGGTTGACCGTAAACATGCATAGGAAAGAAACAGACTAGAAAATGTGACTGATGTAGAATTTAATTTAAAAACCCCCACCAAACCCTGAAGTGCTGCTAGTTAGCTTGTTAGTAAGATTCCAAAAGTGGATGGTTAAGATGAAAGAAATGACTGTCCAAGGTAAGAAAGAGTTGTGAATTTCTACTTGCTGAGCTTTGTAGTGAGTTTATCTGTCAAAACTTCAGGGTTCAAATTCTGTGAAGCATCTCTTCTATAACTGTAGGTGTTACAGAAAGGCAAGTATTTCAAGGAAAAGTGATTTGTGCAATGTGACTGCCCTGTGTAACTTTTGAGTATTTAAATCTTGGGTGAGTTTGGTGGATATAAAGACTAAGAGATTCAACTCCTACAAATCTTTTGTGGTTTAACCCCAGATGGCAAGTGAGCCCCACACAGCCCCCTGTTGGGATGGGGGAGAGGATCTGAAGGGGAGAAGTGAGAACTCATGCTTTGAGACAAACACAGTTCAATAGGTAAAGCAAAGGCGGTGTGTGCAAGCAGAGCAAACTTGTGACTTGACTATATCAGGAGTTTAAGAAGGCAACTAGAATTGTCACGGTGGAATGGAAGTGTGTTGAGGTGGTGGTGACTTAACATCTGAAACTTCCTTGTCATCTTCTTACTTGCAATAACTTAAGACAGTCTTGTTTTAAGCTTGTTTGGATGCATTATGTTATGGAAAACTGAGTGTATTTTCTGTCTTCACTATATGAGAGAATAGAAAATTTTTTTTCAGCTTCTGAAGTTACTGGTAAAATGCCAGTAACTTCGCAACATTGAGTCTCTGGACAAAGCAACTACTCATTGTTTCTGGACGTGTCTGTATGGGACAACACCATGTATGTACCCACCTCCTCCTCCCCCGGAGAGTTTTCCTCAATGATTACAGCACGACATGATTGTTTGCTTCACTGCATTCAGTGAGAAGTTAAACATCAGAAATTACTTTAAAGGTTTAAATCTTGGTGGTTCAGGGTTTTGCTGGGTAAAGATTCCCCGAACACTGGTGGCTATTCATTTTCCTGTGAATATTAATATACTTATTCAGGTTTTGTTAAGAGTTATGTCACTTGGCTCTTTGATGAGAGGAGTTTGATAGCGGTGATATTTACTAACAGAAAACCATTCAGGGTCAAATCTACTTCTCGGCAATATGGGAAGAGGTCTGCTGCTGTGGCTTGTTCAGGTTCGAGTATTGGTTAATATTGCCACCTAATGGCAAGAAGAGTATTTGTCTGAGAATTTAGATTTCTTAGCACTACATTCTACTGATTGTTTTTACCCAGTCATGTCTGCTCTGGTTACATAAAAACAATTGTCAGGGAAACTTGAAATCTGCCTTTTTGTTCTTCTCCTCCTGCTAGTTATAGAGAATTTCAAGGCTATAAAACTAGTTTAAAAGACAGAAGTTATTTTTGTCTTTTAATGGTTAGACTTTTGTGCTTTGCCTGGCTATTGCTTTATATTTTTGGACAAGTATTGTTGCTTAAAAAAGAAGCCTCTCTTTATTGAGAAGATGGTACAAAAAAATCTACTAAGGAATGTCTGCGCATCACTCTCAATGTAACTCCCCAGGCTGGCATTAGGGGAGCCCTGTGGGATCACTTCAGCCCCAGCAGGAGTTTGGCACTAGAACTTGAGTAACTTCAGAGCAGGTGTCCTGGTACTGTTCTGGGAAGGCCCTACGTAAACTATAGAAAGGGCTTATAATAGTTTTGCAGAACTCTAGGGTGGTGTATTAAAACTGGCAGTAATTCCGTTTTGACAGCATAGCAGCTCATTTGGCTAAATGAGAAATTAACTTAAAAAATAATAGATACTTCATCTTCAAGAAAATCTCCTAATAAACCTTAACTTCTTTAATTGCCAATTATTATGAGCACATTTGTTCAAGCACGTGAGATGTGTATCAAATGAGGTGCATTAAATAAACACTGCTTGCAGATTGTATCAGGAAACATGAAACGTGTGCTTTTCAGCCGGCTGCCTGATTATCAGAGCAGTTAATTGTTTGAATTTGCATATTTCTGTCCTGATTGTATGCCTGAGTTTTTGCAGTAGCTGAAAGTCCCCGTTGGTAGTCGTGGGCTTGGCATCAGAGAGCAGTCCCTCTGCATGGATTGGCATGAGCTCTGCTGTGGGGCAGGTTCCCTAAAGCTGTGGGACAGCCCTGTGTGTGAACCCTGCCGTGATGCCCCTGTCATCTGCTGGTGGCCTTGGGCAGGAGTGGAGAATAAGAGAAGAGAGGGAAAACAGGAGAGCATTGTTTTTGCCTTTGCTTTGCCCGAGTGTTTGGACGCTCTGTCTGTGCAGGCTGTTTCACTGTGCTTCTCCATGTCATTCCTGATTCTCCTCTGCCAGGGAAAAGGAGAAACCTCATTCTGGGAAGCTGGGCGTGCATGGAAGCTGCTTGAATATATGGCTCGCAGTTCATACTGCTGTTGGACTAAGAATGCTCCTGATGGGACTAGTTGTGGGAAAATGTTTAATTTCTAACTGCATATTTAATATGGCTTTAAATAAAACCAGTATTTTAGAGTTGATTGCTTGTATGGTCTGTGATTGTAGGGAGGTTCTACCTGTCTTTAGGCTATGCTGAAAACTTGCATGACTACTTCAGTAACTCTCAGGACTTTATTTTTTTCTTAGTATTTCAATTTTTATGTTTTAAAATGTAGGTTTATGGAATTAATATTTACTTGTTTCAAGTATTGGGGATTTGGAAAATGTGAAGATCTGGAGAATACCTTCATTTTGTTCAGGTTTCTGGATGACTCTGAAAGTCCTTCAGGGTTGAGACCTGAATACATAGAGTTCTCACCAGGCTTTATAAATTTATTTGAATGTGAAAATGCTATTCAATTATTTTCTTTTACTATTGTATCAAAAGAGTAAGATTCTTATATTTTTGTCAAGAATGCTTCATTTATGTGGAATGGATTGATGGAGCAAGTCTTTATAACTTTTTAAGTGTTCATTACTCCTGACTCCATGACTGACATAGACTTTCTCATTCATTTCTTGGTGTGCAGTGATGTTGGCTAGAGGAGTAACAAAAACTCAAGTAGTTTAATTTGCTTGTAATTGTTTTTTCCAGGTGGCTTCTCAACTGTGTTTCTGGTACGTACCCATGGTGGGGTACGCTGTGCACTGAAACGAATGTATGTTAATAATGTGCCAGATCTCAACATATGCAAGAGAGAAATTACAATTATGGTAAGAAGCTCATTATTCATAACGGGAGAATGTAGTAATGTATAACATATGTACACCCAACACCTCTTCAATAGCAATTGCTTCTAGGCCACTTTTTCTTTTGACCTTACAATCCTCATTTTGCACTGTTAGATTCAGAACCTAATGCTGAATTTAGGGTTGGTGCATAATTAACTTCTAAAGCAGTTATATCTGTGGTACACATGACAACACTTGTGTAGTCGGATTTGAAATAAGCATTGCTTAATACCACATGCAAAATGGCTCTTAAGTCTTTTTTTTTCCTTAGGACACCTTCACTTGCTTGTGTGTAATAAGTTTGTAAAACTTGATAATAGTTGAGACTACAACAGTTGTGGCTTTTTTCCAGTTATCTTTTTAAATAGCTGTGAGACTGTGTTTCAGTTTAGCTTAAGATGGGGATGGGTAGCTTGATTCTTCCATATCTCCTACGTATCAAGGCTCTAGCTATTACTGCTTCACAACATTGGCTTAAATTGCAGCCGTTTGGATGTCTTTGCACTGTCCATGAGTAGCACATAAATGTTCTTTTCTGAGTAGCCATTGTGTTGTGTTTGTTATGTAGCAGTCACAGGGACATTCTCCTGTATTCTGCCTTTGTGATGCTTGCTCAAGAGGGGTGGATGTGGGGTAGGGGCTCCCTTAACTTGAAATCATAAATGGTTGTCTGAAAACTTGTACTGTCTTGTGTTTGTTTAGATTTTTCTGGCCTGAGGTGTAATGTGCATTTTTCTTTTTCAGAAAGAGTTATCCGGGCACAAGAACATTGTGAGCTATTTGGATTGTGCTGTTAACTCCATAAGTGACAATGTTTGGGAGGTTCTCATCCTCATGGAGTACTGCCGTGGTAAGAGCCTGCTGCGGTCTTCACAGTAAATGCAGCGAAAATGTCTGTATTGATGACCTGGGATTTTTAGGTAGAATTGTTCCTTTAATATAAAATATTAACATACATATCTCACAGCTGGAATCCAAGCAGTCGGTTTTGAGTTGTTGCTGTTAAGGTGCTGTGCTGTTGAACACTGAGAAAATGTAAAAGTCAGTTTTACAGGGCTTTGTAATTAATTATGGTTAGAAACAGGGAAGTTAGTTGTTTAAGTATGAAGTGAAACTGTTCTGTTCTGCTGTTTGTGCTAATCAACCTGTAACTAGAACCTCATTCAATAGGAAAGATGGGCAAGCTTTTCACTGCTCTTCTCCCTCTGCTATTTTTGTATAAATGAGCATAGCATAGTTGGTGTTGATAATGCTGGCCAAAAAAAAATGGTCCTGTGGTCCTGCTTTATAATGTAACTTTTTTCAAATAATGTGTAAAACCAGGTAGTTTTTAGACTTATTTTTTTTTCCCCACAACTCACATATGCATTGCAATAAACTTGTCATTGAGTTTAACTTCTGCAGTTCACCTAAAATTCAGGGTAACTAAGCACAGACTTCATAACAGGAGATGGTGCTTAACCCAGACAGGTGATGGTAATGGAGCAAGTGCAACAAGTACGAAGTAGAGATTTCTGCACTAGAAGGAAAACCCACTCCATTGTCTGTAATGCTTGAAGAATACCTTGAGTTGAGACTTGCATTGGTTTATTTGCAGTAGCAGCAGCAGCAAACATTACAGCTTGTGCAGAAGGAGTTAAAGGTAGTCTGGATGTATGGTTTGGGGAAGGGAATAAGGAGATAATTTGAAAACTAATGGCTGTGGTTTTAGCCCTTTACCTTGCTTGTCTGGGTGAATTTCTGTGCCCCGGTGGGAGCTCACTTCTGACTCCCTGTTGCAGCACACGTGCCTTAATTAGAATGGCGAATGGCCACGGGGACATCAGCTGTCAGATGACAGACAGGGTTAGGCTGTTCTTTTTCAAAGCATCCTTGTTTCCACAGAACACCTGCCAAGGCCCTGCAGATACTGAGTCTTGCTTCAGCTGTCGGCTTAGGTGAGCTTTGTGGTAGGAGGAGCCTAGGATTGTGTGGTAAAATTAGCTCAAACAGGGAAATACTGGTTCTTGAGCTTAGAAAGAAACCTATGAAGAGTTTAAGTGAGGCCTTTCTCAAAGTGTGGATTCAGGACTCTTTATTTTTCTCCATTTTTTTTTTCTTCCCTTATTTGTCTCCCAGAAAGACAAAGAGAGGGGGTGTCTAGAATATGAATTAACTTGAGCTCAGTTGGCTGACAGGGTTTTGGCTATGGATCTAAACGCAGAGACACTTTGGAGGTGACATCTTTGTGTGAGGGATGCTGCTTTGTGTTTGCGACAATTTGTCCCAAACAGGATTCAGTCATAGGGACTCTTTTTTTTATTTATTTGAGAGAGTAATTTTTCTGTCTAGGATGATACAGGAGCATGCATTTGAAAAATCAGGTTTGTTTTATTTAATTACAGTGACTGTGGAAATCTTTCTTGCATCTTATTTGTGGACTTTTTGCATATAAATGAGTCTTTACTTCTGTACATGATGATAAACACTTAAACCCCACAAACTTTTGTTTCTTTAGCTGGGCAAGTTGTGAATCAGATGAACCAGCGCCTGCAGACAGGCTTTACTGAGTCAGAAGTAATGAGAATATTCTGTGATACCTGTGAAGCTGTTGCCCGGTTGCATCAGTGCAAAACGCCTATAATTCACCGGGATCTAAAGGTATGAACTTATAAAGAGGAACATTTAGGTTAAAGTCAAGGATCTACTTAAAAAAGATAGTGAAATACCTCCTATATTCTCAAAGACAGTTCTAGTTAGGGAAGCACTTGCTGATGTTGGCAAAGAGGAACTTAAAAAAGATTGAGAATGTAGGAGGTATTTCACTAAGACAATTCTAGTTAGGGAAGCACTTGCTGATGTTGGAGGTGGAAACAGAGGGACTAGAGCAGAGACATCACTTACTGTGAATGCCAAGTCTATCAGTTGAGTTTTCAGAAGACTTTACTGTTTGTGTGTGAGAACGTGTAGTAACAGTTAACATGGAAATTAATGCCATGATTTTCATCCAATGTTTGTGTGTGTTGATTTCCTTTCAAGGTGGAGAATATATTGTTAAACGATAGCGGCAACTATGTTCTCTGTGACTTTGGCAGTGCCACTAACAAATATCTTAATCCTCAAAAAGATGGTGTTAATATGGTTGAAGAGGAAATTAAAAAGTAAGTTCACTTTTAAGTGGCTATGATAACCAGTGATTGTGCTGCGAGGAAGCTCCATGTGTTCTGTGCAGTGTGCATGTGTTTTATTAATATGAGTTGACCTTAATGGTTGAATTTGAACTAATGTTGACATAAATACAGCAAAACAGTGGAGCTACTTGGTAATATAGGTTTCTACCATTTATTCACAGATTGTTTTTGCAAAACTGAGACTCTTAAGAATAAAGCTGTTGGAAAAAAGCATGCTATTCTGAAATTTAATTGTTAAAAATATATGTCTGGCTACTGGCCATCTTAAGAGTTTGATATTTTAAATTTGTGCTATTTTTATATAGCTAATGGTATGAGAGAAAAAGAACCGATGTAAATAAGCTTTGGAATGGGTTTACGTAGGGCCTTATTTATAGAATAAGGTCCATGATCATTCTCCAAAGACTGATCAGAAAAATATTTTAACTGTTATTACAGGTGAAATTTTGAAAAAATTTTGGTTATGCCTGTTCAGGCTAAGTACTGCTGAGGAATAAATAAGTACAGCCTGCTTGTTCTCAAGTTATGAAGTGATACAGGTTTTCTTCTTTCTAGCGCTGAAAAATATTTTGACTATCAGTTTAAGTATTATTTTGAGATGTTAGTTTCTTGGAGTCTGCATTCTATATGTTTCAGTATGCAAAAGGGAATACTCATGTAGGACTCTTAGATCTTCCAAATGACAGGTTACTGCAGTACTTAAGCAAAGTGACTCTCTTACAAAAGTACACGTGCTGCAGAAATAACATTAAAAGCAAATTTTAACTGACTTAATATTTATTCTTGTGTGTGGTGATTTTATGTTGCTGCTCCAAATGTTCTCTGTGATGCTGCAAATGCAGTAAATGACCTGAACTGCGTAAGACAGTTCCAGGTGCATATCTGCATGTTGGGTGTGGGTGGTGTGTGTGTGGCAGATGCAGGAAAACATGCTTTCAGTTCGGAGGCACACTTTGCATTATGTCCTCATTTAATTATATACTGCTAGGTATACAACGCTATCGTACAGAGCTCCCGAAATGATCAATCTTTATGGAGGAAAACCAATTACTACCAAGGCAGATATCTGGGTAAGCCAAAAATCAGGTACTATGATATACGGAATTAATTAACTGGGGGGTGTGTGTGTGTTTAAGTTACAAGCAGCATTGACTAACTGAAAAACTGGTTCTTTCAAAGTAAAGTATGTCCTGCAGCTACACAGTGCAGGACATAGTAGAGATATCTTTGGTAGTTGTGTCTTCTGTAAATAAAGTGTGTGATGATCAGTTAGAGTGAAGGGGGACACGGTTTACAATTTTCTTTCCTTTGTCAGCTCAGGTTGGTGTCTGACAGTCACCAGTGATTTCTCATGGAAGTCTGTTGGCAGCATGAGAAGGAAAGGTGTTTTTATTAGGTGACGTGCAGTGAAATAAAGACTAATTTCAGTGGAAAGTCTGGTGGTATCTCTGGGTGATAGGCCAATGTGAATGCAGCTGGGGGGGTACGCTCTGATTTTAGTAGTTTGCTGTCTAACATGGGAGTTGGTGGGAAAGCCAGCCTTTCCAGAGCTGGGTTATAGAGCAGCTTGTCACATCAAAGTGTTTCATCATGCGGCTTCTACATAACAGGGTAAGCATGGCCTGTAGCTAGGATGCAGTTTGTTTCTTGTTGGTGCCACTTTGTGTAAAAGGCTTTATTCTCATCCCTTCACAATGCCCGTGTTTGTTTTTTACAGGCCCTTGGCTGCTTGCTGTATAAACTCTGTTTCTTTTCCCTTCCCTTTGGAGAAAGTCAAGTTGCTATTTGCGATGGAAGCTTTACCATTCCGGACAATTCCCGATACTCTCATAGTATACACTGTTTGATAAGTAAGTATCTGGGCAGCGTATTCTTTTGCCTGGTAAATCAAATAAAACACAGGAGATCCCACTAATGAGGGCGAGTGACTGGGGTGGGTGGTGCAGACGGGCTGGGTGCTTGAGGGAGCAGTGGGAGTTGCCCCTGGCTACCGTCTCTCTCACAACTCCTGCCCTTGCCCTCGAAGGGAGGTTTGCTTGCCCTTGGCTCAACAGAGGAGGGCACAGAGCTGAGCTGCTGGCTTAGAAAGGAGTTTCAGAAACCTAGGTGAATCTTCCTTGAAATGGCACTAAAAGTGAGCCAGTGCAAGTTAAGTCTTTCTCCTGGACAGTTGGCGTGTTAAAATCAGCTACTGTATTCTGGGCATTTAGTGGGTGAGTTGGTGATAACTTCAGAATGGAAAGAGTAAATCAGTGCAAACGCCTGCCAGCTGAAATTGTACCTATCACCTCAGAGGAGCTTTGTTGGAGCTAAAAGAACTTGGTTTCTTTGGGAGGCTTGGATAATTTTTTTTTCCCCTTAGGTGGCTGTAAACCACAAAGGGATAAGGGGAATGAGAAGAGTAGCTCTTAATTTATTCCTAGTTTCTTTTTGCTCTTAAGTGTGTATTTTCTGTGGCATGTCAGACCATGATTAGTATTTTCTATCCAGGTTAGACAGTTGTGCGTAGATGAATTTAAAGTGCAAGTTAACTTTATAAACATAAATGTACTGAGATGAATTGCACTGTTTCATGGTTTATAACAGAACAAAAACCCAGTAAGGTTTGTGCAACCCTAAGTATTGGACATGAACTCTGAGAAAAGTTTGTAAGCACAAGAGGATGAAGGAAAATGTTGCACAACAAGCAGCTCTGAGGCTAATGATTGGTCTCTTATCCAAGTACAGAGATATAGGATCTAGTATTTATAGTAAGAAGTATTTTCAGTTGTCTTTATTTTCAACTGAAGGTTCACTTGAAAGGGTGCAACTGACAGAATATGAAAAATTGACAGAGATTGAATAGGAGCTCTTAGAATTTATTTTGAAGTTATGAATGTGGGGTGACCACATAGTTTATGCTTTTGTACAATAGGAAATACTAAATCCAAACCATTTTTTTGAGCACACATTGATAATTGAGAAATAGCAGTTACCACAGTAAGCACTTAATTACTTAACTGACAAAATGAGACTAATTTTCAAGTGATTCAGTGCTTTTCTCTATCACAGTGCTACTTATGGAAGAGTACAGGTTTTAATCCTGTCTCCTTTTAAGTATGAGCACTGATTTATTAAGATTCAATGAACTGCTGTGCCAAGATGAGCATTGCTGGCATGGGATATGTGTGGGTGGGGAAGAATCTCATCACGTAAACTTCCCTTTTTTCCAGTTGCAATGGAAGCCAAAAAAAGCTGCAATTGGTCATAAAATGTATTTCAGGAACTTCAGCTTCATCTCGGCTCTTTTATGAGATGGGGGAGTGACAACCTGAACATTGTCCACTTCATAAATCTAATATTTCAGAATCAAGTGGCAGGAGTCTTTTTTCTTTCTGCTTAATGGGGCTGTTAGCTTAAATCTGCTTTATTTTGTAAAACCCCTTAAAAATAAAACTTGCTGTGAACTATATTGGCCATGAAATAATGTCTTTGAGTATAATTGTAATATCTGTCTAAAATTTATATTAATTTAGTGGGAAAAAAAATAGAATGTTTGTTTTACAAAATCTCATTTAAGGTTGGCTGTACTACTGAATGGTTTTGGCCAAGCTGCTGAATTTCTTCTTGCTGGTAGCCCCTTGTGTCAACAGGCTTTTTGATATCCGTCAGTGATAACTTGGTCTTCCCAATTTTTGCAGGATATATGCTTGAACCCGATCAAGAACAGAGACCTGATATCTTTCAAGTATCTCACTTTGCCTTTAAAATTGCCAAAAAGGATTGTCCAGTATCTAATATTAATGTAAGTAGTCTTTAACTTTTTCTGTGTTTTTAGTGTATTTTGTAGGTAGCAACGAGAGAGTCTATCAAATCAGCTAAGAGATATTATTTCAATTTCTTTATCAACTTGTTCCAAAGTTAGAACACAGTATGCTTCAAGTTGCTGTTGTGTACATCCAGTGTTACCTCTCTGGAACTTGTTTTGTGCTGGAAGAGCAGAGTGGACTAGAAAACTGCTGTTTTTCTATCTGAAGGTTAGGCTTGGATTTAGTTCTTAAACTGGAGACTAAAATTAGTCTCTGCTCTGTGCAGTTATAAGAAAACTTTGCTGTTGAGAGCTGGTAGTGTGGAAATGAAGTAGCTGACAAAACAGTAGTGGTGGTTTTGTTTTACTTCTGTGACAGATAAGAGAACATAGGGGTACTGTTAAATTAAAACATTCCCTTTAATCTACAGCCATGTGAGTGAGTTCTGCATGAAGCCTTGTAACATGAAGAACTTGAACCCAAGTATTCCTCTTCAATATGTAATGATTTTTTTCTTTCAGGATTTCGGTTTTTTAATTTATTCAAATTTATTTTTCCCAAGAATTCTCCTGTCCCTTCAACTCTTCCTGAACCCATGACAGCTAGTGAGGCAGCTGCTAGAAAAAGCCAAATAAAAGCAAGGTGAGCAGCCAGTGTGCCTTTACTTCCTTTGCTAATATTGTTAAGCTACATGTTTGTCTGAAACCTGTTTTCATATGCCTGTTTATAAATGAAAAATTATCTTAGTAGCAGAGGTGATTAGAATAAATTAACTGCAAGAGCTTCAAATCTCTCACGATTCCACCTGTTGCTTTTTTTCATTGTATTGAGAATCCATGGAGAGAAGCTGAGTCTGTTTTGTGATGGAATAAGGAAATGCTAGCAGTCTGTTCCTGATCTGCTTTATTTCCTCCTTGTGTGAGAAGTGAATTTTGAAATAAAAGATTTTTGTGGTAGGTGAGGATAATATCGTACATGTAAACTGTTCTTAGGGCTTTTATTTAAATATGCAAATCAAATCCAATTGAAGGTAAGTGGATTTTCTTTAAAATTCCAATTTTCATACAAAAATATTCTTTTTTTTTTTTTGGTAGTTAATAAAAATAAAACCTTGGGAATTCATGTTCATGCTCTTTACTTCTGCTGTGGTACGTGGTTTATGAGTAATGCTAATGCTGGAAGAGTTGGTGACACTTTTTTTTCTTGTTAATGGAAATCATTGAATCTAGTTAAGTGTATGACTTGGGTACTTTTGTGTTTGGCTGTAATATCAGCTCTATTTCAACTCTGACTTCCTTAGCCTGTTGGGAATAGAAGCACATGCCTGGGCTCATATGTTTGAGTGATGTAGATGTATGTCTGTGCCATTTAAAGGTCATGTTGTGGTCTGAGGTGGTTGGTTTTGGTGACTCAGATGGTGAACTGTTTTTAAGCAGTTGGACAGATATAAAAAATTCATATACTATAACCTGATAACAGGGTTAAAGCTCAAAAGTACTTTGGTTTTGAACATCTTTCTTACCCTGGTAGACAGCTCTGAAGTACTACGGGGAAGATACAAATATTTTGAGCAGTTTATGGCTGTTACAACTGCTAGAGGCTAAATTCTCTAACAAAAAGCAGAAACAAGTTGATTTAGCAGATAAGATTTTTCTTAATCTTATTTCCTGTTCGAGTAAACAGTAATCCTATCCCTAGTCATAGGATTGCTGACTCAAGCTTCACCTAAGTTTCACTCACTACTGTGAGCTGAGGAAAGCTCATACAGGGAAATTTCATCTAGTGCCACAGTCCCTTTGGGAATGAGGTGGTTGTAGAGCTCCTTCTTAGTGCTCTCGTGCAGCAGTCGCACGTCCTGTGGCTCTAATGGGTGCAGGGTGCAAGTTTAGGAAGCAAATTTAGAGATATTGAAATGCAACTCCTAAGTGGAGCAGCACATGGTTAAGACAAAATTGAGATTAAATAGGGTGCAAGTTTAGGAATTTAGAGATATTGAAATGCAACTCCTAAGCAGAGCAGCACATGGTTAAGACAAAATTGAGTTAAGAGATATGTTGTGTCTAATTTGGAGAAGAAACAATCTCTTGGAGCAGCACATGGTTAAGACAAAATTGAGATTAAGAGATATATTGTGTCTAATTTGGAGAAGAAACAATCTCTTTCTTTTAACTGAGCCTCTTTTATGGAAACCTTGCCATTTCATAACCGAGCCTCTTTTATGGAAACCTTGCCATTTCAGGATAACAGATACTGTTGGACCAACAGAAACCTCAATTGCACCCCGACAAAGACCAAAGGCCAATTCAAGCACTGCCACTTCCAGTGTGCTGACGATCCAGAGCTCAGCAACACCAGTCAAAGTACAGGTTCCTGGTGAACTAGGTAACCGTGGGCAAAAAGGTAACTCAACAAAGTGGAAGGATGGACCAAAAGAAACAAAGAATGAATTCTGTATTTCTTATCCTTCTTGCTCTAGTAGCGATAGCATTTATAACGCAAATTCATCTGCTTTTTTTATATGCCAAAACCCCAAATCTTCCTCCTTTTCAAAAGAGTCTAAATGTGCAAGTAGCAAGTTTTACCATGTGCCATAAAAACTAAATGCAGATCATTAAGAACTGAAGGTATATTTTTCATTGTGCTTAACACTGCTTTTGAACTAACTTTCCCATTGTAGACTTGAGAGAAGTTCATGCTCAGTTTTGATTTCCAGATAATTCACTGGAAGCACTGAGCTCTTCTGTAACAAACTGCTTTCACTGTAATAGGACAGATACTTGCCCTGCACCCCAGTAAGTCATGAGAGATCAGCACTCTGTAAAAGCTTCACTTCCCCCATTGATTGGCCAGTGCATTTCACTTCGCACTGTGGGTACAGGAGAGGGGCAACGGAGAAGTCATTGAGGGAGACTCAAACAAGTGAAATGGGTTTTCAGGAAATCCTTTGTGAGGTTTTTCTTTATTACTTTTAATATTTGTCGGTACTGTAACTCTTTCACTTAAATACTTTTCATTTATATCTCAAATACTTTCCTAGTTGCACGGTGTGATGTGTCTATTAGAACACAGGAGGAGTAGCTTCAGGGACAGCATTGGGAAAGCCTCAATCAAACGGCCGCTGAGGATGTGTGTGTCCCAGCTGTAAACAACTTTAACTAGACAGGATCCAAATAACATCCGACTTGGAAAGCTTTTCCTTTTACAACAGGAACAGATCATTTCTGGGCACTTCAGAGTATAAATACATGAGACAAGAGAGCTTGATTTATGTTAGCAACTGCTTACTTAAAAGGCTGCAAGAACAATTGAATGGTGAAGTTAATCAGGTGTTCTGTTTAAGGGAGTGTGACAAGTGAGCCAATAGTTCCCTTAAAAGGGGGGGAAAAAAAAAAGGAAAAAACCAGTATGCATTACATTCATACAGAATTGTATGCTTTGGGGGTGAGGGTTTGAGATAGTAGAATGCACAACGTGTTAATAAAGCAGAAGCCTTGAACCCATCTTGCTCTGTCGTGAGAACAAAGGAAGCTTCCAGCATCCTGTAAGTAGAAATTGTGCATTGACAGGCCTGGAAGTATTTTGGGAGAAGTGAACTTGGTATCTACCAGCTGTACTGGTTGTCAGGCTGGGAGGGAAGTTTATAAACTATTTCATCTTCAAGTATTAAATAAAGAGGTTAATGGCCAGGGAGCTTGTAGCTAAGCTGTGGAGATCAGTTTGTCAGTCATGTTGTCTGGATGTTGCAGGAACCCCGCGACCAGGGAACGGACAGGAGATCTTACAGTCCCAGGGGCACCCCCCGCAGCAGCACCGGGTCCTGCAGCAGCTGCAGCAGGGGGACTGGAGGCTGCAGCAGCTGCACCACTTGCAGCACCACCACCAGCAGCAGCCCCCCGTGCAGGATGCCTACATTCAGCAGGTACCAGCCACGTGTCACGCTTGTTTATAACACTTGCAATTGTGTGCTTGTTAAACTTTTCTGCTGTTGCTGCCTGTTTTTTTTCCTGCTAGGGGAGAGAGAAAGGGAGCACAGCTCCTGCCCCTTCTTTTTACCTTTGATTTGTCTCTTCATAAGCACTGCAAAGCTTATCCTAGAAAGTTGCTTTTTTTTGTGCTGTCTTGTTTTTGCAGTTTGACCCTGAATCCCAGCTTGCTTTGATTCACCACCGTGTGGCCCAAATACAGGTTTTCTGTATGTGTAAATGTGCTGGCGATAAATATTGGGAATTACCTAGGTGATGATGTTATTCTTGCAGTAGATGGTTGTACATGTACCATCCGAGTAGGATTTTTGCAGTTTTTGCTTTTGTAAGTTTTTCTTGGTCAGTGAAGAGGTTTCTTTTTGTGGCTGTGCTGTCCATCCAGATTTTTCATGGATGCAACTTATTCTAACGCTCTCCAGCTTGCATGCTGTCAAGTACAATTACTGAAGTTGCATAGTATAAGTAACTGCAAACATAACAGAAGAGCAGCAAGGTCAGACCAGAACTTTCCAATTCTGTCCAAGATGCATATTGGTATTTCTTTTTTAATTTTGCCCTGTTAAGACATGTTAGCTGACTTATTTTCCTAAGGGGCTCGGCACTGGTGAAAACTGCACAAGTTGGGATGTTAACTGGCCTGCCTTAGAAAAGGCAATACTGAATATGTAGTGTAATGTTTTGTTAATCAAAAACTGGTGTTCATTGGGGAAAAAATGCAAAAGCTTTGAAACACAGTCATTAAAATGCAATGACTGAATTGCAGGCTGATTCTTGGCTATGTAATGCCTTAGCTGAAAAATGCTGTTGAGTCACAGAAGTGATACCTGATGCTTTTTCTAAATACCTGGCTATTTCTAAAGGGGGAGTCCTTGAAGTCATCTTCTTCTTTTCAACTACAGTATCAACAAGCCATGCACCAGCAGATGGTCCAGCAGCAGCTGTTGATGCAGTCTGTGTACCAGCAGCAACCCTCCCAGTCTCCGTATCCTGCTATGGTATGTGAAGAGTGGAATGTAGATGGTACAATCTTAAAATATGTGCTGTGTTTGTAAGTCTATTGTGAAGAAGCAGTAAGAGAAGTTTGTATGTATTTGTAATGAGCTATGGATGTGGCAAATAGCATAAAGTTCAACATCTAAAGCGGTATTCAGTTGAGGGGGTAAGGAAAAAAATTAACCCAAACTTGATTGCAAAAGCTTACCTGGAGTGGCACTTATGTACTAATCAGACGGCGTATATCCTAAACTTCAGTAAGTAGGTATATGCTGACTTGAAACATGCTTGGCTATTAAAGTTTCCAATAGTGAGCACAGCAGCAAATGTATATTCCACTGTGAAGTAATAGAAGAGACAGCTTTCTTGCTTTTAAAATAGGAATTTGGTGCCACTAACTGGCATAGTCTGTTTTTCAAAACTCAGGAGAAAAACTAGAAGAGTAAGTGCAGAGTGCTGCAGTAGCATACTCTGAGGTGGCAGTAATTACAAAAAGGTAATGTAGTATGTTGGAAAAGAAAAACAGTATCTACTGACCTGTGAAGGTGGTTTCTTTTCACCCATGTAAAGGTCTGCTTCTGCTGAAGCTCCTGAGCTGTTGGGGTGTGTGGTGGTGGTCAGTGGACTTGTCTGCAAGGCTGGAATTGTCACTTAAACAGAAGAGATTCACACTGGCCCTTGTGCATTTTAGTGACATGATCATGCCTGTCTTAGGTGCAGCAATATCAGCAGGCTCTCCTACAGCAGCAGATGCTTGCGCAGCAGCAGCAGCGGTCGCAACAGGCACAGTCTCCTGAGTATATCACTTCTCCACAAGACTTCTCACCAGCCTTAATCTCCTACCCTGGGTCGCTTCCAGTGCGTGCTGGAACGGTGGCAGATTCTCCCTACCCTGCCAGCAGGTAAGAGTTCTGTCAGAGACGTACCCACGGGTTACTGCTTACATTGCTCATTGTGAGGAGCACTGCTGAATCCTTTCCTCACTTGCTTCAGTGTTACTTAAAACAGTTGGAGAGTTGTGGTTTAGTGGCAAAGTATATTTTGGGAGGAAAGCGTGACACTTGACATGTTAACAGGTAAGCCTGGTACAGCTTCTCCAAGAACCTATTTTCCACTTTTTTCTTGTTCAAGAACTTACTCCAGGAAGTGACTGCTACCCACTTTGCTTAGGATGGTCAGTAGCCTTTGCTGAGTGAGGTTATAGGCATGTGAAAGTCAGCTCAAAACACCCTTAAGAGAGGCTTTGTAGTTGACATCGATTTGCTAGGGCTTCTGGCTCCTGTGTATATTGATCAGAAGTCTGATGTAGGTATGTTATATGATGGACTGTACCCCATCAGTGATTTGGGCCCTTTGCAGGGGCCTGTGGACTTACTGTGGCTTAATAAAGTATAATAAATGATGACTTGCCCATAAATTCTTATGAAAAAGTGTGTGGAACAAAAAAACCTTTTCTGATTTAAAAACAAAAATCACAGATTTGTCTGGTTTTGCTAATATTAGGAACAAGGTTATAGTCTTATGAAAAACAGTGTGTGGAACAAAAAACCTTTTCTGATTTAAAAACAAATCACAGATTTGTGTGGTTTTGCTAATATTAGGAACAAGGTTATATATCTCTACAGGCTCCCACTATCCTATATTGAAAGAGAAGCCCTTTACAATTGTGGGAACGCTGCAGCCTTTGGTGCACTCTGTCTTGACACATGTTTTCAGTTAGTAGTGTGACTTAAATGCTTCAGGTGCTGCTGTCATTCCTGGTCTCTTCTAAGTTACAGTGTGTTGAAAGAGGAAAAGGCAAAATATTTTGCTGCTGTGGGCTGGGTTGATACAATATCGTATATCACTGTGACCAGTTTGGCTTCAAATCGCCAATTAGTTTGTCTAATCCCTAGCAGAGAGTGATGTCCTGCACTTCTGTACCCACACCTGAGACTTACCAGCTGTACTGCTGTCAGGTTATTGCCAGAGTACTTTTGTCACAAATCATTTCTGCAAGGAGTCACCCCAGTCTGGAAGCAAATCCGTATGTTTCCAGTTTCTCTTCTGTGTGTTTGGCTGCAGATTTGGATCCTGCTGTTTAGCTTCAAGTCAGTGATGGCGAGTTAGCAGTGGTTTGCAATGCATAGTTTTTTGAGATGGCAGCACCCAAGGTGACAGGAAGGGGCCCTTTCCCCTTCCTCTTCTCTGGAAGAGTTGGTTCCACGTGGAGCTGTGCTGCCCGTGTGGCCTGTGGAGCCCAGTTAGGCATGGAGAGGACTGGTTAGCATGTGGTAACTTGCTGCCTGCTGCTTCAGTCCTTGTCAGACAGAAGTGGTAAGTGTCCTTTGCTGAAACGTGCGTGAAAGGGAAAACACATCTGGCTAAAGGTTTCCTTATCTGTGTAGATTACTGATACAAGCAGAAGCTGTGATGTCAACTGGTTACGCTAATTGTATCAGTTGGATGGATGTTGGATTCAAAGACCCTTTGTGTGTCTGCTGAGAGAAAATAATTTGAAAATAAAGAGAATTGATGAAAACTTCAAACATATGTAGGAGGCTTTTTTGTGAGGAAAACAAGGCAGTCTCCTATGGCAATATAGAAATGATCACAGGTTAAATACAGCTTTTTCCTTGCTTGTGACCTTAATAAAGGATTCTTTGCTTTGGCTGCTATTAATAAATTGAAAAATAACTGTCCAAGGATTGCATACAGAAACGATGCAACCAAACCACGTATGTCAAGAGATCCGTTTTCCCTTATATTAGCTTTCAGATGCTTTTGGGATAAGCTGTTAATGCATGTGTGTTACTTTTATGTAGTATTTTGGCATAATGAAGCTTGTCATAGACTGTCCCCATGATAAACAGCCCAGTAACGTCTCTCTCTATTTGCTTCCATGAACTGACTTTACAGGTCAGGCATTCCCGATGCTGAAGCGATTGCCGGATACCCAAAGCAGACCATCAGTAACCCACCTGATATGTCAGGCTGGAACCCGTTTGGAGAGGACAATTTTTCCAAGTTGACAGAGGAGGAGCTGCTGGACAGAGAGTTTGACCTGCTGAGATCAAGTAAGGGACGCTTGAAGGCTTATTTTGCTTCCCAGTAAAGGAGGGCTCTGTAGTTGCTCAGCAGTTCCAGCACTGACTTGCAGAAAGGCCACGTGGTCTGTGTACAGAAAATTCTTTCTGAGCATTTGAGGGCAGAGTTGGGCCTCTCTTCTTTCTCTCCCTTCCCTTTCTGAAAATGTGTGCAATAAGAACTCACTGTCTAAAATCGGCAGTTACCTGCTCAAATACTGCAGAAATAGTAATATCTTAGCTCTTAAATACTGCTTGTGTCACCTCGATTGCCAAGAAGCTCTAAACAGCAGAGATGCGTTGTCAGATAGGAAGGACAGTTTGGCTGCTTGCTTTGTTCCTTTCCAGCTTTGTTCTTGCACACCAGAGCAGAAGATTCTGTGGTCTGAGATGTCCTTTGAAAATGCCTGAAAGAAAATTATCTATTACATTATGTTAATGTTTTGTAATGTCCTTTTTGATGAGTGGCTACATGTAAGGGCTGCTTTATTGTTCTGATATGGCAATAGTTGAATAAACTTTTTCCTCTTGAAGTCAGTTATCTCAATGGTTTTTACTTGGAATGACTTCCTTTTCTTAATTCTTAACATGTGCTCATTAGATGCTCTTCCGAGAGCTGGTTTTGTCAAGATCAGATTTATTAGTGAGACTTGCAAGATGTGACAATGTCAAAAAACAGCTTGTTTATACTTGGCTGACTATCAGCAAGTTCATTGCAATTAAAAATGCAGTAAAGTTGAATTTCAAGTAATTGTAAGAAAAAAACCAAGCAAACAATGCCTTCAGTTGAGTCTTTTTCTTCTTGGATTTCTGTGTCCTTAAGCGTAGCTGAACAAGATGTGCACGTTACCTGTTAATGCTTAAGGAAAGCAACTGGTGGGTTTTTTTGTGAAACTCTAGTTGATTGTTTCCACTTGTATCCTGTGTTGATAAAAGAAGGCTCCTATTTCTGAGATATGGATGTAGCCTGCACACATTTTATAGTAAAATGACATGCTGTTAGCTGGGGAAAATGGATAATGTACCAGCTGAAAAATAAGCATTCTTTCCTAATCAAAGTTTAGAATTTGAGATTATTTAGCAGTAGAATTAAGTATCTTTAGGCTGCTTCTAAATACAATGTTGAATCTGGCGAGGGTTAGCTTGAGCCAAAAGGTGAGCACATTACCCATTTTTAGAGTCTTTAGCTGCCTGTTGGACTCCTGACGGTGAGCACAACATTACCCATTTCTAGAGTCTTTAGCTGCCTGTTGGACTCCTGACTGTGGTTCTGGTAAGTTTTATGGATCGATTTGGTTAAACCACATCTTGAACAAATGTAACTACAGAAGAATATTTTAACAAAGGACATAATTAAGTGGTTTTACAAAAAAGCTGGAAAATGCTATAGCAGAAACATGCTTGCCTGGAATAGTTTAATAGGCTAGTTATAGGAAGCTGGGGAAATAGAAAATCAGACTCACTTAGGTTGGAAAAGACCATTAAGATCATCAGGTCCAACCATTAACCTGTCACTACCAAGTCCACCAGTACTTCATGTCCCTCAGCACTATGTCTGCATGTGTTTTCACCACCTCCAGGGATGGTGACTCCACCACTGCCCTGGGCAGCCTGTGCCAGTGCTTGATAACCCTTTGGGTGACGATGCTGAATCGCATGCACAGTTAGTAAAGGGTAGAATAACTTGGAGCTAAATGCCGCTAACTGCTGTCTCTAAATCTCCAGCAGAAGGTCACTACCAAGTCCACCACTACTTCATGTCCCTCAGCACTATGTCTGCATGTGTTTTCACCACCTCCAGGGATGGTGACTCCACCACTGCCCTGGGCAGCCTGTGCCAGTGCTTGATAACCCTTTGGGTGACGATGCTGAATCGCATGCACAGTTAGTAAAGGGTAGAATAACTTGGAGCTAAATGCCGCTAACTGCTGTCTCTAAATCTCCAGCAGAAGGTACAGTTAACTACTACTATAATTCCATTATCCAGTTTTTGTACTGCGTGTGTGAAAATACTCTGAAGCTTTAAAATCTACTCAGGCATGGTTTCGTCTCACCTCTTAGTAAAGATAATTCAGTGCATGGAAGAGCTGGATGTGATAATGGACTTGATGTGCTGTATCAGAAAAGTAAACATAACAGCATAGTTTTGCTTGGGGGATTATAGTCACTTGAATACAGAAAATGTAAAAATAAAACAATGTATTCACCTGACCAGTAGTACACTAGATGGCAGGCTTGGTTATACCTAAGATGCGGTTACAGCTTTTGTGAGGCTTTTTGGCTTGATTTCTGTCCGTGCAGTGGAGGGGGGGCATGGCCAGTCTAATCTCAGTGTATGTTTGTGTGTACACATCGAAACTTAAAGACCTTTAACTTTGTTCTTTGATATTAAGGATGTTGTGCCAAAGATGGTATGAAATTACCTTACAGTATTAATGCCTTTAATGCAGTCAAAACAGAAATATTTATACTTAATTTTGCCTACTGGTACTTTTTCAGACTTAGGTGGGTTAATGAGAAATCGGGAGATTTATTGTACAATTAAGGCTTATACCTATAAAATTGTCTTTAACTGTATAATACTGCTAGTATTTTGTCAGATACTTTAAGGATCAAGCCTTAATTCTCATTAGATGTGGGCTATCTCTTAGGAGAGAAAACTGCTCTTTACTACTAAGTAATTGGCTTTTCTGCTCAATTTTTAGTTTGCTGTGAATGATTTTGCCATCTAGAGGAAAGAGAATTGAAGATAGAGATTTAATGAATTGTTATATTTTTCTGCTACTAAACCCAGTTGCTGTCCCGTACTCTGTAACTCACGTACAGTGTTGTGTAAGTTTGTCTTTTTGCGGTATGATGAGGTGCTGAGCAGCATTCAAAATATCAATCCTTTCTTTCCACTTCCAAAAGCCTGGTTTCTACTGTTGGGCTGATGCTTTAAACATAAATTAAAAATATTTTTTAAACCGTTAAATATTTTTAAAGCTGTTGTGTTCCTGACAGTAATACACGAGTAATTAAATATACACAGCCTTTGTTAGCGGATCAAGATGTCGACATAATTTGTCAGGCTAACATCGTTCCATTTCACACGTTTAGCTTAATGTCACAGTGCGTGTGGTGATGGGTATTGCTGTGATGATTAATCCTTTAAAAAGGGATCTGACTCCTAGCACAGAATACCTTGTTTGCACTTGGTGAAAGTTTTTGATGGTAAAAAGCTGACAGTTGCAGTGAAATTAACGTGCAATTGAATGAAGGTTTCTGAACTGAGCCCCTTTGGGGAGAACTTTGGTGTGGAGCTCCTGGTTCTTGTGGACACTGTGGTTTCTGTGGTGGTGTTATCATGGGTATTAATGGTGGTGCAGAAGCACCACGTGATGGCGAGGATCTGCCAATGTTGTGAAGAAAAGGATTTCTTATAGAGAGCTCCTGTAACCACTTCATCTGTGCAGATTTGGGAGCCAAGAGAATAAGTCTGCTTTTTCACCAGGAAAACACAGCAGCGCAGCCTTCAGGCTGGATTGCAGAAGGGTTCTCGTTAGGCCCAGAGTCACCGAGGGGCTCCAGCAGAGACACCCGTGGGTGCAAAGCCTGCAGAGCACTGTGCCCACCTCCTCTGCACCACGTACAGCGTGGAGGAACTGCCTGGGCCATCCCTGCAGCATGGGGCTGGGACCCTTACCAGGCTTTCCTTGGGCACAAGCACTGCTCAAAGTCTCCTGAGGAATCTTGGGCCTCTCACTTGGATGGAAACAGCTGGATTCCTTCTTTGTGGTTTGAAATGACTGCACTTTTCTCTGGAAGGCTCTGCTGTGCTACGTGGCACATGGCTGTGTCTCTGGCAGTGGTCTGGGCTGCATTCCTACGGTTATTCACTGAGGGGGAAGACATTGGATCTTTAAGGGAGTTGCATCTGAAGCACTACAAAGTCCAATACTGACAGTCCCAGTGGAGCCACTTCTGCTTGTGTGAAGCTGGAAAAAACATCTCTGTCTCTTTTATCTCAAACACACTCTGATAGAGGGAAGTGGATTTTCTGCCAGGTGCACAAATGACACTTGTGCTTCCGAAGACTGGAAAAATGCCTCATCCTTTTCCTTACATTTGATGACTTGACAAATATTAAACTTTATTTTGCAGGGAAATGTATCCCAGTACATGTATGCCTAGATGCCATGCAGGAGCTGAAACCTTGTATTTACTCACTTTACCTATTTTTTTCTTGCATGCTTAGCATTTCAGTCCATTTTGTTTTCCACTAGCCCTGCTGCTGAAGTTGAGAGATATGATTATCTGGGGGCTTGAACTTGCACAGTCGTGTGTGCCAGCGTGGCCAACATTGCAGGGACACTCCAAAGGGTAGTTGAAGTTGTTGCACCCTGAAAAATTACTCTAGGGGTGGTTTGCCTGCAAAGCATGCAGCAGTCAGCTGGATTCCCTCTGGAGGGAGCACACTAGGGATAACAGAACAAAGGCATCCCTTGATCTGTCTGTGTGTGTAAAGATGCAAGTTGAAGGTCACATGCATTTGTTCAAAGACAAAACTGTTACTCTAGGGGTGGTTTTCCTGCAAAGCATGCAGCAGTCAGCTGGTTTCCCTCTGGAGGGAGCACACAAAGGCATCCCTTCATCTGTCTGTGTGTGTAAAGATGCAAGTTGAAGGTCACATGCATTTGTTCAAAGACAAAACTCAAAAAAACCTCACACAAACAAAAGAACCCAAACAACAAAGCAGAACACAACCCTCCCTCCCCACCAAGCCAGCCCCAAACAATCAAACCCCAGACCCTTCCTGCCTGAGGAGAGTCAGGGGTAAGCGCTGCTCTTGGGATGTGATGCTCAAGCAGTTGTTTGTCTTCAGGCCTGAAAGCTGATGGTATAAAACCTAGAGCTGCCAGTCATTTGTACATCTGGGCTAGTATTTTGTTGTGCAGGGCAGTGTCACTGCAGGATAATTCTGTTGGAGGCTGTCAGTCCCTGTTTCAGTGTGTGTGTGTTGAGGTGAGGGCAATTACTTCATGTCCTGCACTGGGAGCCCCCAGCTGGGATTGTATTTTAAGTAAGGGTTGTCTGTAGCAGACCAGCTCCCCCTGGTATTTTTGGAGAGACTAGGGGTAGGTAAGGGTAAAAGAATTCACATTATGGACACCTGAATGCGAACAGAACACTTGTCTGTGAAAACTGGCATGTAATTTCACTACTCCTGGGCTTTGCCCCTGGGGTGCTGTGCATCTGTCTGAGGCAGATGAGCTGTGAGTCCCTGGTGGTGTCTCACCAAAGCCTCCTGGTGCCTGCAGTGAAGGGCTGAATAGAAAACCTGCAGGCAGCATGGGATGGAATCGGGGAGTGCAGGTTCAGCTGCATCTCTGCAGCAGCAAATTGTCAAAGGTTGTGCTGCAAATGGTTTGTGAGAGCAGCTGCTGGGGTGGCAAAGGGGGAGAGTAAAATGCTGTGTCTTTTGCATGGAGGGTGTAGGGTGTTGGCTGAAGGTGGAACCCTGTGTCACAGGGATGTTGTTCAGTGGCTGATGAGCAGTGCTGGACTCTCCTCAGCTGCAGTGTGGTGCTCGGGTGGGATAGTCTGGATCTTCAACTGGTGGTAAAGTTAGAGTAAGAGCTTAGACAGAAGAACTTGTATTTACCATTCCTAGTGCTTTGATTCTTCCTTTTTTGTTGTTGTTGACTGTGTTAAGAGCTTTTTGTTCGTCTATGTAAAAGACCATACAAAACAGACACTACATTTCTCTTAAATGACACTAAAATTGTTGGGTTTTTTTAATTACTAACAGATATTACGTGTTTAATAAAAAGTACTTATAGCTGTTTTTCTGTGATGGCCAACTTGTCTTTTTGTGGCAAAGACTGGCCAAAACTTGGATAAAATGATTTTGTGTTTTAGATAAGCATAGTGATTCTGACTTCTAAAAGCACCGAGGACTAGTAGCTTCTATTACATAATTCGCATATATCATGTAAGATGCTCATTTAAAGCATTCCGTGTCGAAATACATCCTGCTCTTGGTGGGACAGGGGGTTAACAATAGCTCTGTGCAGGTGAATTTTCCTGAAAGATCAAGAAGTATGAATTCAAGATGTAGGATATCTTTAAAACTTTACCCTCCCCTAATTGAGAGGGTGTTCCTCCCTCGCCCCATACAGTAGATACCTTTGCATAGGCCTAAGACCTGCCGTTTTTATTTTATTTTATTTTTTGTTCTGTTTTATTTTGTTTTTTACAGACAGGCTGGTGGACAGGAGAGCATCTTCAGATAAGAATGTGGAGCCACATTCTGCTCCACAGAAAAGTCCTCCTGAAGATCCCTTTGGTTCTGTTCCTTTCATTTCTCACCCAGGCAAGTTACATCTGTAGCATCAGTAGCTCCTATATATATGTATACATATGTACATATATGTGTGTGTATGTATCTGTTGAAGTGTGTTCATGCGGTTAAATGACCAAAGAATGATGAAGGGCTTGGCTGCCTCATGATGGCAGATGAGCTGAGGAGACTTTTTTAATATGTTGATTACCTCCAATTAAAAAAATGCTTCCACACCCAGTTCCTGGTCCTTGTACAGTGTACAGGCTACCTAGTCCTTGCAGTGCAGAATTGTTGGACCACTTGCCTAGAGTCAGAACTGCTTCTGCTAAAGGTAAATTTCTTGCTAAGACCAAATTTTGCTACTTCCCTGTAGGCTGTTTCCAACTCGCCCTGTCGCTTTAGTTCAGTTCTCCAGCCAAGCTAAGACTCTGAGCTTCTGCTGCATTTAATGCATAGTTTGGGTGCAAATTGGGTCAAAACAAACAATATCTGGTGTTCTCTGTACTTTGGTGGGGGGAGGAATGTTCAATACTGTTTCAGTTCACCTTTGGCTGTCTTTACCTTGGATGGAAGTAAAAATAACATTGTATGTGGTCATTAACTGTCAATTTGAAACTGCATCATCCTGCAGCTTAATCGCCAGTTTTAACATTTGCTTGATCAGCACTTTAATAATTTATTTTTGGTACCTGTGGCAAAGTAAAGCCTACATGACAGTTAAATGGTAAAAAGACAGTTAAATGGAAATTCAATACTTATAGAGCCACTGAGATGCCTACCTAAGCTTTGTTGAGAGTGTTTGTGTCACAAAGGTGCCTTAATATGACTTTTAAAAAACCTTCTTTTAGTTCAAAATCTCAGGTAACATGCCTTAAAATAAATCACTTGGGGTCAGCCTAAGTGAGCATCAGTCTCTCGGTTTCTTCTTGCATTCCTGAAGATCTGCTGCTTCCAAGTGCTCCCGTGCTGTACATGGCCAGGAGCAAACAGGGTAACGCTGGTGTATGCTGACAGGCAGTTGGTAAAAATACCTCTGCGTCCCTCTCTGCTCCTGTTGTGAGAAAAACTGGAAGTAATTCTGCTTGGCCTCTTGCTGTGTTCTTAGTTCCTGGTTTTGTTTTGCTCATTCAGAAATGACCAGTTTGCCTTCTGTCACCCTGTTGATATTCTGTAGTTCAGTACAATGTGAAAGCAGTTCTGAAGTGAGGAAATGCTGCTCTCTAGGTGCAGGAGGTTGGAAGGATTTGCCCTAGAGGCTTCATTAACAAGGTTGCTTTGTTTCATAGGTGAGCCTAAATTCACATGCACAATGAACAGCAATAGTTACACTTCATCTGAGATGGTGTCTCTTCTCTTCAGTACTCCTACCTGTGTCTAGGGATTTCTTGTTTTCTTACTGCAGGAGCTAAAAAATGTATCTGCTCATTGCTGGTTCAGATAATAGAGCTTAGATTGTAATGGATGGCCTTGCTTTATTCTGTCATGTTTTGGTACTTTGAATCCAAACTCTAATTCTTGACATACTGAAAAATGAAGGGAGATGCCTTCTCTTATGAAAAAACAAAAAAAACCCACCCAAGTTCAGTCACGGCTGAAAAGCCAAACTGCTGGAGAAATGCTGGCTCTAATTCTTGACATACTGAAAAATGGAGGGAGATGCCTTCTCTTATGAAAAAAACCAAAAAAAACCACCCAAGTTCAGTCACAGCTGAAAAGCCAAACTGCTGGAGAAATGCTGAGTTGCTTGTGAACTGTGTTACCTATGTCATTGGAAAAAAACCAACCCAAACCATATGTTTTTCAACCCTTTTTTGTACTGACTCATAACTGGGATACAAACAAGTGTACAGACTGGACTGACTTCAAGGAAGGTATTTTTAATTCTGTGTTAGCAGTGAACTAGGCTTAGCAAACAAACCTGATATGGTAAATGTTTAAATCTGAAGAAGCTGTTTTGTTTTCCCTACGGAATTGTACCTGGAAATGTCTGGAAATAAGGTGTTGTAAGACAACTAAGAAAAGCAGAACGGTGTTGACTTAAACATTTTATTTCTAGTTCAGGCCTCCCTAGGACAAACTTGACAAATGTCCCTAATATTTTTACTTCCTCTTACACTTAACGTTTCTGTGTAATATGTTCTTTCTGGTTTGTTCCTTGTGATTGTAAAAGATTAACTAAGAAGTAAACCACACACGTGCCTTACTCGGGGTGTCAAAGGGAAGGTGAGTGAACAGAAGGTGGAGCAGGTTTAATACCCTGAGCACAATTCCAGCGCCTGGTTTGGAGACTCTCTCAATCCAGCTAGAGCAGAAGTCTCACCTCCTTAGTGTAACGTGGCTACAGTGCAAATACAGAGTGTGTGTTCACTATTCACCCGGGTTTCTGACTGCTGGATTTCGACATCTTGAATGACGATGGAATGTTGATGTTATCAATATAGATTGTTTAAAATAAAAAAAGAAAATTTAACTTTCTTAAAAAGTGCCAGTTCCTATTGAAGATATATTCTCCTGTATTAACAACCTTTGAGTTGGAACTGTTGTGGTCTTCTGATTTGATACTTTTTGCTGTGTGCCATAGGTCTCAGGTTCATAAATGATGTTGTATGTGGACTGTAGCTGGGTCACCCAGAGTATTTCTTTTGTTTTGGAGGCTTAAGGGTTCTCTGCTGAAGGCAGCACTCTGCTGAAGTAATTTCTATCACCTGATGTGAGATAAGAGCAAGAAGCTGAAGATCACTTACCATCTTTTGACCTAACAGCTTAACATAGGGTGCTGAAAGTCCGGCAGAAGAAGTGCTGTCAGGTATGTTTACACGTGCCAGGGAAGGTGACACAAGGGATGCAGAGGTGGAGATCTGAAACCTTTCATCGTGGCTGGGAAGGACCTGGGTTGCTGGGAGCTGGGAGCCCTTGGGGTTTGCCCTGCAGAGCTGAGTGTGTTTCAGGCTGCTGCTGCTGCGAGGATCACCGGGCAGGAGAACCTGGAGCTGGATGGACTGAGGCTGCTTCTGTGGCAGAGCTGCTGTGCTTACTCTGCTCAGGTGGGGATGGAGAGCCAGCAACAATGTGTGTGTTGCCTGACAGGCTGTGTGTGAAATGAACTAACCTACTGCTGGGTTCCTCTCACTGGAGTTGGTAGGAAAGCAATGTAGAAGCACTTCGTGTTACTCGCACTTGGTGTTTATTCTGTTAAGTGTTTTCACAAGTACTACATGTAAACTTGCTACACACGCTCTTTTATGCCTAAATGTTTGTGGAGAACAGTAATGGCTTAACTTGGGACCCCTGGAAAAGAAAAGTGGCTTGTGAAATAATGACAATGCTCAGTCTCATACAAACAAAACTAACATTGGAAACTTGTTAGGAAAAAGAGGAAAGCATGGCTGGATAGCCAGTAGTGGGGCATTAGAACAGGTACTTGACATATGGAAAACGAGTTCTGGTTTTTGAATGCCTTGAAAAACTGGATGGTGGCAGTGGAAGAATCGGCTCCTGTGGTCAGCATTTTGGAATGGAAGCTTTTGGTTCAGGTGTGTGTTAACCAGCTTGTGTTGTAACATCCTGTGTTAACACCAAGTTCAGTGTTTCAAGAACTCAGAGACACTTTCTGCTGTCTTCAAATTACAGGAAGGAGATGTCATGAATACAGCACAGTTTGCTGCTGAGTTGTACTCTGTGGCCTTTTGCCATCTTATGTTTGTTTACACTAATTCTTTCTGGGATTAAACTGGCCTAGATTGCTTTTTGCTTCCCTCAGCTTAATACTGGAATTTGGAGAAGTAATAAAAAGATCTGAGGTAACTCTCAAAATGATTTGGATGGACTGGGCGAGAAGTGGAGATGTTGGGAAACCGTGATGGGAATTTGTGTGCCGGTGCTGACCTGAAGCTGTCTGCCAGGGGGTGTGCTCCTGTGGAGGATCTCAGGACCTGTCTTCTGGCTTGTCGTTGGGGAATAAGGCTCGAGTTCAGGCCATCTATTTAACTGTTCTGCTGGATATCTGTGAAGCTCATCTTCTGCTGCTTCTTGTCTGCCTGTAACCACTGCGTGCCAGATCCCAGTGCAATGGGAACCAGCTGGAGACTGGGACACCATACCTCCCGGAAAGGACTCTGCTGCAGTAGCTGAATATTAGTGTTCACTGTTACCACAGAAAAGTGCATTCTGGCATGAAGAAATGTGGGTGACAACTGTTCATTTGGTTACTTTATGTTATACTGCTTCTAACGAGGTTTCAAACCACTGCAGGCTTCTGTGTAACTGCTTGGGAGCCCTCAGACTACTGTGCAGTCTGGAGCTTTAAAAGAAACACAACTCACTATAATTTAGCAAGAAATTACAAATTTGAGAATGGAAGTAGCAGCAATACTTGAGCCAGCTTGCTCTGTGACACTTAAATCAGTTCGTTTCTTTGGCAATTGATGTTCTTGAATTGTTACAAGATGCCCAGACCCGCAACTTCCTATGGCTGTTGTGACTTGACAATTAAAATTAATTCAAATCAATATTTATACTCCCTGACAATACTGCCTATGTTACCTCATCACCTCTCCTGGATTATGGTTTCGGGTATTCTTCATGCTGCTTGCTGAATGCGGGTTCTGGATCTTACCCTGTCTCAAGATCATCTTTAGACTTAACCTTTTCTAGATAACACATCCAAAGTAGTTTGAACTTACTGACACATCACAAGAGTAAATGATACATGTGGGCTGTGCCAGTGGTGTGCTCTTTCTCTCCAAAATGATTTAGTGGGGTTTTTTTACTATTATTTTTCAAATTTTAAACCTGTCATGGTCACCTTTCACCTTTTTTATTCTTTTTTTTTGGTTGTTGTTTGTAACAACACACTTCAGTAAGAATAATAATTAGAATATCTAAGCAATGGATACCAGGCAGAAGTGTTTTGTTCTCCCACTTTTGTTCTTCTTGAAAATAAAGGTGGTGAGCAGTGTAAATCCATGACAATATCCAACAGCTGCCGCTCTGGCTGTTGTCACAGAGGGAGCGCAGACTGAGTTGCAGCAGGCGGGTAATCCCTGGGCCTGACATGTGGCAAATTGTTGTGCAGTGATGGTGGCAGTATGCTACCAATTCACAGGGAGCTTAGGGCCCTTCTGCCCCGCTCTCCTGCCACCCCCGCAATACCCCAAAATGATGAACCAGCAGAAGGCATGTAATTACTGCAGTTGTTAGGGGGAATTCATCCTCTTATAATCCCGTGTCTCGAAAAAGAACATCAGAACAGAAAATTTCCTTGAAGATTGGGATCTTCTTATACGATTAAAGATGTTCCACCTGGCTCGCATTTGAGCGAAGAACAATTGTCTCCTACAAGATGCAAACCTGATTAGAAGTGTGGTAATCTGAACAGTACATTGCAAACAGATGTTACTCAACATTTTGCAGCTTTTTTGTATAAATATATATCTGAACAGTCTCTGCAGCTGCTCAGGTTGAGAAGATTGCATGAAATCAACATGACAGAACACTTCATTTTTAAAATCTGTTTGGCCAGAGCATTAAATTGTCATTAACCAGGGAATTTTCCCTTTGGGGGCATTGTTTCTATTTGCGGTGCTCTTTGTTCAGTTTGCTGACTTTTACAGGAGTGAAAGAGGGGGAACTGTAGTGCAGAAAAACAAACCAAACTGCTCCTGCTCTGGGTTTGTGACCACCAGCTCTGAGGAGGATGTGGCTGTTTCTCTGGCTATGACCCCAGCCTGCTCCCATTTTCTCCCTCTTACTGGGACTAAACCAAAGGCGCTGCGGGTGAGGAGGTGTGTGCAGAGATGCTTTCTTTAAAGATTAGGATCTTGGACTATGTACCCCACCTCAACACAAAGCGGAGAATAAAGCGAGGTACTTGCTCTTTCCTGAAGGATACAAAGGTGGGTGCAGCGGGGGCACCCCCTGGAAAAACCTCAGCAATAAAAGTGCTTTCTTCAAAACGGTGCAGCGGGAGCAGTGGCCGCTCCCAGCATCGCCTGGTGTCTGCCCCTCACTTTCCTGGGACATCGTGCCTGTGGGGTCATACCTGCTGCTGCTGAGATCTGGGGATGCTGAGCTGTTACTGCACCCTGGGCGTTTCTCATCACTGCTAAATTCAGTGTCTTTTTGGTAACTGAGTCTGCGCATGGTACAGTATGCTTTCCTGGGACATTGTGCTGTGGGGCCATACCTGCTGCTGCTGAGATCTGGGGATGCTGGGCTGTTACTGCACCCTGGGCGTTTCTCATCACTGCTAAATTCAGTGTCTTTTTGGTAACTGAGTCTGCGCATGGTACAGTAACACACGTGTCCTGCTGTGATAAAGAAGTAATATAGAGGGCTGAAGGGCTAGAAGTGCAGAAACCCTCTTCAGAAATCACTTGTGGTGAAATGAGGGGTTTGGAGCTGGTGAGCTGATGGGCAGTTAATTGCCTGGTGCTGTGATGCTGTTACAGCTGGAACAGTAAATGTGCTTCCAAGATCTTTGAGTGGCCTCAGAACGGAGGTATGTCAGAAAATGTTTTCTCCTATGCAGGCACAGACACTGAAAAATGCACAAACTTCCTTCTCCTGTGCCGTTCTCCATCCCAAAGGCTGCTCTACGCTGTATCTGGTAGCCGTGGCTTAGCCCCTTGCCTTCAGAACAAGAGGCCACAGAACTGGCTAGTGCCGAGACAGGGTGCTGTGGGGAAAGGATTGTAAAAATGAACAAGAACTTCCAAATTCAATAGTCTCACTGGCTGTTGAGGCACTGTCCATGTCTCTGTCACCGAGTGCTGTGCCCAGCAGGGCCTGGGAGAGCCCCATGTGTGGGAACAAGAGGCACAGCGAGCGGGTGGGCTCTGCTGCAGGACACCCATCTCCAATCTTCTGGATTCCTGGGACCAGGGAGAGAGGTTAGTGCTGGCACACGAGCCATCCCAATACACTGAGTACAGTTTGGGAACCTGCTTTAAGTGTTTTGTCATGGATTGTCAGGTCCCCTTTGCTGTGTGTTGTGTCCAGAGAGCTCTGCTGCCCAGTGCTGAGCACCCTGTTTGTGTTGGTGTCCTTAGCAGTTTGCTTTCCAGTGAGTGTGACTGTGGCAGCAATTAACAAATGATATTTAAGCATTTGGGGAGGTCAGGTGTATTAGATCCACTGTGGTTCAGCTCTTGGCTTGAAAAAAAATTGCTTTATTAATTGTTTTGTGCACACAGGAATGATGTGCAAAGGTTTAATCACTGCTTGGGAGCATAAACTCACGTGGACATTGACATACGGAAAAGGTTTGGGGGTTCTGTTGTGTAAGTGGTGTTAACATCTAACCTAGAAATGTCTCCTTATTCCTCTCCTTTTAAATCTAATTGCATTTTTGTTAATGTTTCAGTAAACATTGGAAACAGCAGGATTTGGAAGATAGGGGGTTATATAGTGCACTGTGAAGGCTGTACCTTTGGGAAATCTAAAGTAAGCAGCCAAATAATCCAGATTCTAATTTAGTGGGTAAAGCAAATGTGTAGTATTTAAAATTACAGTAGATAAGAAGCAATCTGACACCAGAAGCAAAGAAGAAACAGCTCAAAGCCCTAATCACCTGATGTTTTTAGTCATTCTGCTCATCTTGTTTTTAAATCCGTACATAAAATAAATTGCTGCAGAATTTTTAGTGTTATTTTATGTGTGATTGCAAAAGAGCAAAATGGGTACTGGATGAAGAGAGCGGCTATTCGTGCCTTTTAAAAAGAGAAGAAACTGTTCTTGTAAAACTGAATATTCTGGTTTAAACCGCAGAATGGAAAGAAAAAAAATCTGCCCTGGCTGTGATGCCCTGGGAAGGGTGGTCCCCACACAGCGCCCAGCGGGGCGGCTGACACAGCCCCACTCAGGGGGCTGCACACTCAGTTTCTGCTGCTGCTCCTTGTCTGCCCAGAGGTGAATTATCATCGCTCTTATTAGTGTTACACGTTCAATTAGACACTCTCAGAGCAGCGTGGCTGCCTTTGGTCTGTCCCCTAGAGAAAAGGGTGTCTCAAGAGCAAATATCCTTTCCCCAGCCGAGACCAAGTGTGTTGCTTTTCCTCCTGCTCATTCTCTTCAAATGGGGATCCCACAGTGGGTGAGCTCCCAAAAACACCTCTGGGCACCTCTGGGAGACATGAGTTGTGTGTGAGTCTGATGAGTGCCTCACACTTGCTGTCTCTTTTCTTTACTGATGTAAAGTTTTTCCTGCTCCTGTTTCTGAGCTGAGCACCCCACGGAGGAGCCAGCGGTGAATTGTTCTCCCAGCTCTGTGTGTCAGGGAGTAAATAGCGGGTGTTGGAGTGGAATGGATAGAGAGATTTCCTTCCCGGAGTGACACTGAGCTGACAGGTCCCATTTAGAAACAAACAAGAAAACACTTCTCTCAAATTCAAGTTAAATCGATAGCTTTTTCTGCCTGAATAGCTACAGAAGTTGGAAGGGGCTGAATGTGGAGTTTCAGTGTCACTAGAGAAGACAATCTCTAAGCATAGTTTGCCAGGGCAAGAATTGGATTTGTTTGTTTGTTTGTGTTTTAAGAAAAGGCAGAAACTGTCTGGTGTTGCTATCACAGCATCTCTGTCTCGGTGTAGTTACGTTACCCAATGACCTTGCCCTCTCCCCACAGGGATTGGTGCCTTGTCCCTGTCCCTTTGTGTGTCTCAAAACACCCCAGTGAGGCAAAACCCCCCAGAGCCCGGATCCCTGCTGGGGGTGCTGGCAGCCTCTGGGTCCCCCTGCTTCAGCTCCCGTAAGGAGTGGGTGTCCCCAAGGGCAGGACAGAGATCGTGACCTCATGTCATCTTCCCTGCAGTTTGGAAGTGAACACACTTCTTCTCTTGCCCAGGCCCTGGTTTTCATAGACCTTAGAGGAGCCTAATTATGGTGGAGGTGTTGGGTAGGATTGCCTCATTAGGAAAGCGTGGGAGAGGAAAGGCTGGGGACTAACAGTGTCAGGCACTTGTTTCCCTTCTGAAACGACATTGAGTGTGTCACTTTTGCCACACGCACCTGACTGCGTGGTGAAAGCCTTCGTACAGCTCTGGAGAACCCCTCCCAAAGGCACGTGTGAAGGCTGGGTTTGTCAATAAGGGGCGTTTGCTCTGGTGTGCAGGACCCAGCAGATGGGTCAGGAGACCTGCAGAGCCTGCTGAGGGTAAAACTGTACCCCAGATCTGAAGTGAATAATCTGAAACTGTTAAATACTTTACTTTTGCCTGTGCTGTTTTCATGGCTAGAGCGATGCGTTTGTCCTGGCAGATTAGCAAAGCAGAAGCTCTTCAAGAACTAGGTGGTCTGCTTTAAAAAAACCAACACAGCCCAATTTGAAATGTGTCAAATGCACTGGTTCCTGGAGCGGAGGCCTAAGGAGTGTGTACAAAGCTGGCTCCAGAGATCTCCTGCATCCATTTTCCACCCCCAAAATACTAGTATTGTATTTCTAAACATCTTGTGCTCGAGGAGCACAGCCAGAAGGTCTGACTTCTCATCAGTTTCATGAGTGTTGCTTGAGACTTTACATCTGGCTTTACCTCATTTCCCTCAGTAAGTACAGAATGTATGTTCCCATCAACTCTTGGTGTGTGGCTAACGGGAGCGCGGAGTGAGTGGTGACTTTAAGAGTGTATTTCATGTTTTGTTTCACATTTTTCTTCGGACCTGCAGGTTCCCCTGGAAAACAAGCGGATAACTCAGCCAGCAATCAAGGAAATAACGTAGGGACCCCAACCAAGGCTGGAAAACTGAGCCATGCTTTTAGAGACCCCCGGCCAGGGAGGAAAACTGCAGAGGGCCAAGTGACAAAGGGTGGTGATGAGTCAGAGAGTGATTTTGAGTCTGATCCTCCTTCTCCCAAGAGCAGTGAGGAAGAAGAAGAACAGGAGGATGAAGAAGTCTTGCAAGGAGAGAATGGAGACTTCAATGATGACAATGACACAGAACCAGAGAATTTGGGCCATCGACCTCTCCTCATGGACTCCGAGGAAGAGGTGGAGGAAGAAGAGGAAGAAAAGCAAAGTTCCGACTCCGATTCTGATCGTACCAAGCAAAAACCTGTGGACGGGCTCCTGAGCAGTAGGTTCAGAGACGGTGTGAGCAGCGGTGAAATCAAAGAGTCCAGTTCACTGCATCTGTCCTTGCCCGAGGCACCCAGCACTGTACCCAAGGAGAGCCCTGGCCAAGAATTTGATGTGTTTGGGGCAGTGCCCTTTTTCACTCTGCAGCCTCAGGCGAGAGAGAGGACGGACAAAGATGTCTCTTCCCAGGTGGCTTTTCCCAGCCTGAACCAAGAGCAGGATGATTTTGATGTTTTCACAAAAGCCCCCTTCAGCAAAAAGGTGTCTCAGCCAGATGGGCAGGTGTCGGGCACCGAGCCTCTGCTCTCCCCCACCTCTCCACGGAGCGTCGATATTTTCGGCTGCACCCCATTTCAGCCTTCCCTACTCCCCAAGACCGGTGGGAGCAAAGAGGACCTGTTTGGGCTGGTTCCTTTCGAAGAGATCACGGGGAGTCAGCAGCAGAAGGTGAAGCAGCAGCGTAACCTGCAGAAACTTTCTTCCCGGCAGAGGCGCATGAAGCAGGAGGTCTCCAAGACCAACGGGAAGCGGCACCACGGCACCCCGACCACCACCAAGAAGGGGTTGAAACCCAGCTACCGCACCCCCGAGAGAGCCCGCAGGCACAAGAAGGCAGGCCGCAGAGACTCCCAGAGCAGCAATGAGTTCCTGACCATCTCGGACTCCAAAGAGAACATCAGCGTGGCGTTGACGGACAGCAAAGACCGCCCCAACCCTCTGCAGACGGACGAGAGTCTGCTGGATCCTTTTGGAGCCAAACCCTTCCACCCCCCGGACCTGATGCGGCACCCCCAGCACCAAGGGTTCGGTGAGGGCCGCGGGGAGCACGGCACGGTGGTGGTGGCTGGTAGGCCCAGGCAGAGCTCCTTGCACGGGGCCATTCACGGCGGTGACGGGCTGAAAACCGATGACTTTGGTGCGGTGCCCTTCACCGAACTGGTGGTGCAGAGGGCGCAGAGCCAGCAGCAGCAGGCGCTGGAGTTAGATCCCTTTGGAGCTGCTCCGTTCCCTTCCAAACAGTAAATGCTTCCAGCGGGTTCCCCCCCTCCACTGCTCCGAGTTACTCAATAGGGGTTTTAATTAGTGGCGTAATTTATCTGGTTGAATTGAGAGGGACGTGGGTTGTACGGTTTGTTTGAGTTCCAGAAGGCATGGCCAGCTTGAACGATGAAATTCAGAATGATGGCAGATTCTTAGTGGTTTGGGGTTTTTTTGTTTGTTTTTTTTTTTTTGGAGAGAAACAGAAAAAGCAAACCAGGAGCATCATTGTGTTGTGAGAGATGGCTCCCAGAACGAAGAGAGGAATCAGGTGTGAAGGGGTGTCTGCCACTGACTTTGGGCCCTGGAACATGCTGTCCTTCTGCACTTTTGCGTGGCCTTTTCACTCCTCCGGGGTGTGCTGGGAGGGAGGGAGGGAGGGATGGGCAGAGCCCATGAAAAATGCTTTCCGTACGTACAGGTGGGCTCGTGCAACCACGGGGGTTCTTCGCGTCTCGGCCGCAGCAGACCCAAGAACCAAAATGTACTAATACCCAGATCGAGCTACTGGAAATCGCTGAGTCTTTGCTTCCTAGGTGAAAACTACCTTTATTAATCATAAAAATAAAGAAGCCAAGTCCTTAAGGGGCTGTGGCCCCGAATCCCAGAGCACGGCCGTGGCTTGGCTCCTGGCAGACATCTATGCAGCTCCAGAAGTGAAAGGCGGATGATTTTTTTTGTGTGCCTCAATGTTCAGTTTTTTATTTTTTATTTTTACAGTAAGTGCCATTAATGTAAAATAGCAAACTGGAAGATTAGAGTTACAGACAGAGAGAATATAATGGTTTGTGAGAGGAGCAGTGAAGCAGCAGGGCCACAGCCGGTGCTGGCAGCACTTTGGAGATGGCTCAGCCCGGGATGGGAGGCTGGTGCACACCCGGAGATCCGCTGGTGCATGGGGAGCGTTTCACAGCACCTGACTGTGAGATGCAGCCACCAGAGTTATTTCATGACAAATTGGGATTTGTGTCTGAAAATACCATAATTTTTTTTTTCCCCTCTTGGATTTTTATTGCAAAGAAAACGTGTATTCTTTCAAACCTGTTGGTTTTTAAACCAGTAATAATTTTATGCAATGAACCTAATGTTCTTTGAAGTTCTGATGATTCTGTCGTTGTACTGAGTGTGTTTTGTAAGAAAGTTTTGCTAAATGCACTGAGCTTTGCAGAAACTCCTCCGAGGGGGGCTGTGCTGGGATCAGCAGGAGCGTCTCAAATCACGGAGCCCCCCCAGGTGGGACCCCTCCTGCCCCACGGCACCTGGAGACACTGGCTGGGTGAGAGGGGGTGCCCAGTGCCTCAGGGCGACGGGGAGGTGATGGGAAGAGGCTCCTTGAGGAGAAGATCTCATTACCACGTTGTGCCGTGCTGGTGGGAGGGCTCCTCCACTGCCCACAGTGTCTGCGGAGCCGGGGGGGCTCGGGATGCTCCAGTTGCCTTCTCCGTGGCAATCCCAAAGAGGAGGGGGAAGGAGGTAGTTCCTCTGCTTGTCTCAGCTTCATACCCCTCCTCGGGGTGCTGAGGAGTCGATAGTCGGGTGTTTATATATGGAGAACATGAGGGTTCCTGCTTGTGTCCCCCCCCCCTTTCACTGGAGGCAAAGAGAAATATTTAGGGTTGTGCTTCCCTTCCCTCCCATCCCCTCCCAAAATCAGGTTCCTGCTGGTTCTACAGTCGCCCTGAGATGTGTGAGGGTGCGGGTGGCTCCCTTACAGTAGTTGTGGAAAACAACACATGGAAACCGAGTCACTTGGCTCCTTTGGGGGTGGTTTGACAGAAGGCTCCCTGGGATCCCTGTGAGAGCTGGGGCTGGAAGGCAGCTCACGGGGGTCTGTGTGCCTGCGGTACCTTCTCTCCCTTGGTTTCCTCTCTCCCGAGGTGGGAGTGGAGTAGCACAGCTGGATAAGGACGCCTGCTTCAGGCTTGGAAGTTAAGCTCTTAGGAGGTGATGAGTAGAAATGTTTCAACTCTATTTGCACAGGAGTCTCTTAGGCTTGGTGACTGCTGTTCTCACCCGGGGTTTTTGTGCCAAAGGCTGTCAGAAGCGCACGCCAAGTTTTGTAGCATTTTCTGATACTCAGGTTAACTGTCTCGTCTTTTTTTGTTGCTGTTGTTGTTGTTCTTTCTGTGCGCGTGCTCCCGAGCTGCCTGCCATCTCCCTGCAGAGCCTTTGGAACAGAGGGGTACCACAAACGGGGCGGGTGGCTGGAAATAAAATTGGAATAAAACCACAGAGAACAGACCTCTGGTCTCAGAGGCGGCTCGTCCTCACCTGAGCCACCGCTGCCGGGAGGGAAGGGCTGCGCTCGGCAGACTGAGGCTGGGCCTCCATATTCAGGTAGATCAGGGTGTTTGGGGTTTGTCTGTTCCCCCCGGGCTGTGCTGGTGGGGCCGTGTTACAGGACAGGCAGGGTGAGGGGGGGGTGTGCACGGGAGCCCAGAGACCAGAGGAAAGCACAGTGTGACCCCGAGTGACGCTGGCATCGTGCCTCTGGCTGCACGCGAGTTATGGCCCATGAGATCTGCTTTCTAATGGCCTTAATAAACCTTGTTCTTCGTATTCTAGTTCTGAAAAAGGGTTTTTGCATAAACCTAACTTCTTGGTTTCTAGAGTTAAGGTTATTTTATCCTTTCTTGTGACTGAAAGAGATCCGTATGCCTCGCTACGTTGACTTTGCTTGGTACTTATTGTTTCTACGCAATTCAAGCCAAGTTTGGGTTTGATGTCGGCTAAGATCCACTGTTGAGCAGAGATGAAATGTGGTACTGTCAGGGAAGGTGATGTCCTTTGGCCTTTATTTGTGTGTGTGTGAGCCCATGTGCGTGCCTCTCACGGAGTCTCTGGAGACCTTCCCCGAGACCCAGGACAGCCCTCGCTGTGCCGGACACGCGCTGTCCTGTGGGTGAGGCCAGGAGCTGGCACGTCCCTTCCACCCCACCAGCCCCGACTGTTACAGTTCTCCTTTCCCCCCCTGAATGAGTGAACCACGGGCCTCTCAGACTCCACTGCTTGTGAGAGCGTGTGTCAGAAGGTGCTGAGAAGCCCTTGGTGGTTGTGGTGGTTGAGAGGACCATGAGATGGTGTTTCTCTGCAGACCCTCTAACGTGAGGAGGGGGCGGCTGCTTCCCCTGACCCCCGTGGGTACCAGCTTTGGAGGGAGTGACTTTGAATCCTTCGGGGTGTCCCAGTCAGTAAAACCAAGTACTGTGAAAATATGTTGATATATTTGCTACTGTGAGAATAAGAGTTTATCTGGAAATTTTTTATACTATAGGGTGTATTTTTATATATGAAAGGTATATATAAAACATACACATGCTCGCACACATCACGTCTCTCTCGGAGTTGCTGTGTTCTGGGTGACAGAGCAGCCACCAACACTGTCGTGTGATTTGAGGGAGCAAATATGAGTGAAAAGCTGCAAAAGAATAAAAAATGCCAAGGGTGGCTGCTGTGTTAGTTTTCCGTAGCGCTTGTTCTGAAAGGAGAATCAAGGAAACTGGGTGTTTAGCAAAATTTGTGACTGAGGCATCACCTGATATTAAAGAGCATAAGAACTATTTTAAAATTGCTGGCATTCAGCTTTTAAGTGCACTTTCCTGAACTACACTTCCATTTCTTGTTAGACTTCAAGTTTCTAAAGCTTTTTTGTGTACCACTAAACAGAGAACTTTTAACTTTTTTTGTGAAACTGATGTATGTCATGAAATACTTGCAGTTGTTTAAATAAACAAAGGTGATAACAGTGACTTTGCAGATCTCCTTAACCCTTGCGTTACCAGGTGTTCACCTTTGGGCCTCGGTTTCCTCGCCACAAGCAGCGCTGCCTCTGCTGCTGGGTGCCTCTGGCTCCTCTCACTCCTTAAAAATGTTTTAAAATATTTGTGTTTGCTGCCCAATCAATCATCTTTCTTTGCCCAACTTGTTAAAAACCTGTTGATCACACACTGTTTTCAATTCCCTAGGTTCAGTGTTACTCTTTAAAGCCTTCCTGCAGAGAGGTTTGGGAGGGATGCGTTCTGGTTCCTGGGCAGCACCTGAGGCTCGGTCCCTTCTCCATGGCCAAGGCGTGAGGTGCAGCTCCCAGCGCCACCTCCCAGCACTTTGGTCTGCAACTCAGGAAAATGACATCATTTTCATGTGACGTGACCCCCTTCTAGCCATTGTTTTCTGGAGCAGTTTGCTCTTGTGCCAATCTCACTCCTGGGTAAGCTGAAGAATGAGAACGGTGAAGGAACGGTAGGTTCAGTCACTGCAGCGCGGCTCTGTCCTGGCTGCTCTGTCTTTGGCCAATTGCCCCTTTCAGTCTCATTTTGTTATAAGCAGATCCCTGAGGAAATTCGGAAATGAAAATGAATAACGGTGGCATTTAATTTTTGCTTTAAAGTTAGTTCTTCATGGGTTATGGGGTCCCTTCCACCTGCCCCTGGTTTGATGGCTCGGCAGCCGGCGAGGGGCAGAGGGCACTGGGCAGTCCCAAGGGCTACTGGTAATAAATGTTCTGATATGCCCTTGGTCAGAGCTTTTCTGCCCGAGACACCTCTGATAGAGGGGTGGTTTTCAGCCCCTGCAGTTACAGAAGCAGCTAAAAAGAGTTCTAGCTCCAGTTTTTTGTTGTGTTCTTGCAGCGTAAGTGCTGGCACTGGGATTCTCAGGCAGTGGCACTACTGCTCGGGCAAGAGCACGTTCACAAAGCGGAGGTGGAAAAGGGGGAGAAGGTGGGGAACGAGTGTTTCAGCCAGGGCAGAGCTGGGATGAGCCCTTCCTCCTCTCCACAAGGGCCCAGAAACAGAAATGGCCTGAGATCTTAAGATACAAACAAGGCCCTGCTTGGAAACTAGAGCTAAAGGGGGGAGGTTGCAAAGCCGAGTTCAGCAGCAGATTCACCTGGAGATGCTCCTCAAAAACACCTCTACAACACTAAATTAGTGGAACATGCAGAGGCAGTACTGAGGAGCGCAGCACAGACCCTGCCCTGCCCGGTCTTGGGCACTCAGGACTCTCCCTGTGTATTGAAACCCCCAGGAGGTGACAGAAGGTGGGTGCTCGAGCTCTTCACATCTGTCCTGTGGCTGTGAGAGAGGCACAAAGGGTGTTACTCCAGGTAACCATCCAGTGAACCCAAATTTATTTACAGGTTGGGTATGTACAGAGAAGACTGTCATGCAGCTTGATAAAGTTTGTCAGGGTCATAAAAATGTACAGCTTTGCAGTCAGTTTCCTTATCCAGTGAAAACTGCTACAGCAGTTAAGAGTTTACATAAAAAAAATACATTAGCAAACTATAAATCCGAATGCTTTTGGTACACAGACACATTCTTCAAATATTATTGTTCACGTAACACTGGAAACAAGCTTTTACACTCGCAGGTTCCTTGTCAGGCGTCAGTAGTAGTAATTAGTGCACTTGAGACTTGCTTGGCTGTCAAGTTTTAAAAAAAAAAAAAAATCAAAAAAATCAGTGTTTGCACTGAAAGGCTCAAAGGTCTGGGAGTTGCATGTTAAATGTCAGTTCTTGCCACTACTTGTTTCTGGATTTGGAAAAAAAAAACCAACCCCAAACCACCCACTGAACTAAAGAGACAGTCAGGGTTACTCTCCAGCAACCAGAGAGGTTGGTGCCTGCCTTCTCCATCCCCAATGAGTGTCCTGGTGCCCAAGGGTACTTTTCCATGGGTATTCCCCATCTCCTGGGCATCCCCTGCCCCACCGAGGAAGCTGAAGCCCGTCTCTGAGAGGGAAGGGGACACAGCTCAGCAGGGCCGAGGCTGACAGTTCATGAAGGGCTTCTCGTGCTTCATCCCGTCTCTTCCTCAGCCTCAGGTGCAAGAGAACTGCTCTGGAGTCTTCCGAGGCCCCTGTGGCTGCTGTCAGACCGTCCCAAAGCGGGAGAGAAGCTGCCGGGAGCTGTGGAGGCCACACTGCAGGTGAGGCAGGGAGCTGGGGTGAGGGCACCTCGGGTGGTTTGTAATCCCAGGACAGATTAGTCACAGCAGAAAGAGTTGGGGGATCTCTGCTCTCTGGCACAGGTTCTAAAATCATGGCAGACTCTAAAACCCAAGACAATCCTTTTTACTGCAGCAAGTTTCGGGCAGTACCTCACTGTGAGCAGAGCTTATGGCAATAACTCACTCTCGGTGCCAAAGTCTGCACAGCACCTGCCCCAAGGCCAAGGGTCAGCGACTGGAACCCCCAGCAGGGTCACTGCTCGGGGCGTGTTACTTCATCCTGTTCAACAAGGGTAACTCAAAAAGAAAAGAATCTCACCAACTCTACTGATTGCAAGGCAGTAACAAACATGGACACGCAGGCTTAGGGCTACTCCTGAAACACTTCAGAGTACTAACTCCAACCAGAGGGATCTAGAGAAACTTCTTGAAGTACTGGCACTACCCACATTGGGAGAGGCAATTTTTAAGCTCTGAGATGAAGATTTAGCGATGGCAGATGATGTAATCTTCCAGAAAAAGGCAAAGAGCTTGTCCGGAAAAGTACCAGAGTCCCCTGAATTCAGTTTTATCCGTTACGTACCAACGCTGAAGATAAACACTTTGTTCAGACAAAGGCCCCAGAGGAAGCTCCGCTGGGATGGGATCCCAGAGCAGGTCCCACTGTCACCACAGTTTTACAAGGACACTGCCAGGAGCCGTTTCTTAATGACGAGCTTGAACAAAACCTGAAAACCTGGGACACGGGCCCGTTCGCTCAGGAAGGGTAATTATTTCTGGTGGTGGTGTTTACCAAGCCAAAAAAATACTGCTGTGATCCCAGTGCTGAGCTTTACAGCCCACCTTCCATCGCCCCGCTCCAGGAAGACCTGTTTGGTGCTTGGTTGCAGAGCAGGAACCGAAAGTCATCTCCTGGGCAGCGCTGTTGGTTTCTTCAGAACTCACAATACATTGTCCTGGCAAGTGGGTAACAGTCCACAAGTCAGAAAAGGAACTGCCTCAGCCCTTAACTGCAGAGCTCAGCTCATTAGGCAAGGTCCAGACCCAGGGAGTCAGGCATTTCACCGCAGCACCTCTGAAAGACAGGAGGGAAACAGGTTTAGTCACTTACTATTGCAGGTGAAGTTCTCAACTCTTACCTAATTTCCAAAAAATCCGGAATTGCAGGTGAAGTTTTCAACTCTTACCTAATTTCCAAAAAATCCGGATCAAGGCTTAGGAGGCTGAAAACCTGACAAAAGCCCGAGGAAAAGGCTACTTGGGAACAGATACTACTGACTACTGGCTATTAGAATTGTGAAATAGAGCCAGAGGGATCTGGCAGAGCCAGGTCCAGCCTGTGCAGACTCTGCCCAAGGGCACCACAGCCCCAGGAGCTCCAGGAGAGGAGCAGCGCGGAGACGCAGAGCCTGCCGCCAGGGTAACTCCTCTGTCATTTACGGGCAAGTATGAGCCCAGTCAGCGCTGGCTCGGGAGAAGGCAATTAGGGAGGGTGACTGGAACTTGTGGCAAGTTAAAAGCAGGGTCGTTTAACCCAATACCTGTGAGGTACCTGTGAGTTCTCCTGTAGGAGAACTGCCCTACCTCCTCTCACAGGTCGGCGCTGTACTCGGGGCAGGGCTTGCTGTGCCGGTACTGCATGATGTACACCGTGGACTGGTGCCACCAGTACAGCATCACCACTGCCAGGATGTGCCACACCTGGTGGCTCGAGCCGAGGTAGTTCAACTGTCCTGTGGGGAAGCAAAAGGGCGAGTGGTTAAATTGCTACATTCAGCGATCATTTACACAATACAATTAGCAACCAGTCCCCTCCACGGCTCAGCTCTGCACTCCCCTCGCAGGGAGGCACTGGAAGTTCTTTAACGAACTTAATCAGGGGGTGTCTGCCTTCTTTTGATGCAAATATACGCAACAATTTACTCCATATGAGAACACTCCACGTAGAACATGGTCAGCCTGTTCTCTCACAGCAAGGACTGTGGCACTGCAGGAAGCTTAACTGCAGGAAAAACACCCAGAAGAGAATTTCCTACCTGGGAAGTATCTCTCTGGAACTTTGGAAATATAGAAGAGAAAAGCTACAGCAGCGATGAAGTACATGACAACTACACGCGGAGCAAACTCCTGCAAAAGAAAAGGAAGCTCTCCTATTCTGTTAGAGGGCAAAAACAGGAAGAAAAAGTCTCCAGAAATAAAAAAGGCATGACAAAACTGAATGTTACCTGGGGCAAAATCTAACAGTGAAGCAAATGCCAAAGTTTGGGAAAATCTGAATGGGAAGCAACTCGTTTTATCACCACCTCTCTGTTTCAAACACCTGAGTACCCAGTGTTTCTGCACTGGCCAGGGTGAGAAGGATGACCTCAGCGCAAGATCTCCTTTACTGGCTGGGACTGCAGGTGCTGGGACCCAAGGCCACAGCAGCACTACCTGCTGGATAGTCAATAATCAAGCAACGCAATCACGAGCTGCTTTTTGTTTTCCCTAACAGCAAGTTTTGTTACCAGAAGTGGGGTGTTTTTCTGAAGTATGGAACACAATGCGTACCGCACCTGCTAGGGCAGGAGAAACTACCTGGGGGGACAACTACTGATCTTTAGAAGGCCCATTTGATTTGCCTTTGTCTAAAGACTACGTATACTCCTAAGTGCTGCTCTTCCCCACTCAACAGCAGCTCTGGACTGGGCTAAGCCAGCAGCCCAGGTGACAGTCCCCCAGCTGGGCCAGTCTAAGAACGCGCAGTCACTGCTCACTGTCACTTTCCTTTTCATAGGAAAGGTTTTCTTCAGCACGATTAGGGCCCTGGGTAATTGCAATGATTTCTGGGGTTTTCACATCGGGGCATCCTTCACTGTCTTTAGCTGTACTGGGCTGCTTGTTTTTCAGAGCATAATTCCAAGTGGTAAAACAAGAACAGGAAAATAGTTCAGTGACTTTGTGGTGCTGTTAAGTGAGGGTTGTGCAAGAGACAGAGGGCTGAGTAGGCAAATACAGAGTTGTGCTGCCAACCCAGGGAACCGAAGAGGAAGCCAAATAATCACCCCATCAGTGTCTCCTGGCTCCCCTCTCCTCTGGGGCTGCGGAGGCGGATGGCCCAGAGCACAGCACCCTGGCACATTCCCATTCCCTTCCGCAGCCGACTCAGCTCTTCCCTCCTCTCCCTCGCTCTGAGGGGAGCCAGGGTGCGGCCCACCCACGCAGCTGCTCAGCCCTCGGGCTGCTCTGCTCGCTCCCATCCTACCCAGTCTGCCTTCTCACGGCGTGGTTTTACACCAGTAAAGCAGATTTAATCTGCTCAGCCTGGGTCATACTGGGCTGCTTGTTTTTCAGAGCATAACTCCAAGTGGTAAAACAAGAACAGGAAAACAGTTCAGTGACTTTGTGGTGCTGTTAAGTGAGGGTTGTGCAAGAGACAGAGGGCTGAGTAGGCAAATACAGAGTTGTGCTGCCAACCCAGGGAACCGAAGAGGAAGCCAAATAATCACCCCATCAGTGTCTCCTGGCTCCCCTCTCCTCTGGGGCTGCGGAGGCGGATGGCCCAGAGCACAGCACCCTGGCACATTCCCATTCCCCTTCCACAGCCAGCTCAGCTCTTCCCTCCTCTCCCTCGCCCTGGGGGCAGCCAGGGTGCGGCCCACCCACACAGCCCGCTCAGCCCTCAGGCTGCTCTGCTCGCTCCCATCCTACCCAGTCTGCCTTCTCACGGGTGGTTTTACACCAGTAAAGCAGATTTAATCTGCTCAGCCTGTGTCCTGCTTCTCAGTGAAGTTCTAAGTGTTTGCATTCGGATTGGATCGTCCGAAAGAAATTTGTGTTTAAAGAAATGGTAATTACCACTGCTTCCCCTTCGTTTCCCAAAGTGTAGGAGGACTGAAGGAAGAGGGCAAGTGAAAAGCAACAGGGAATCTTATTTCCTTCTTTTTTCCTTTTACCTGTACAATAGATGCACCGATGCCGCCGTTGAGCCAAACCCAGTGGATGGTGGGAATAATTCCATACCCAGACACTGAGCAAAAGATGATGGAGCGCAGTCTGTGCCACTGCTGCGTGAGGTAACTGGGATGAATCTGAGCAAAAAACACTGCCAAGATCATTGCCAGCACAGTGATTAAATATACCTGACGCCAGTACTGAGAAAAAAAGAAACAAAAGCAAGTTTGTGGGTGTTCTCATCACATGTAAAAGGAAGCTCTGCGGAGGAAGTTTATGTTACTAAACGTCATGATTTATCATTTCTCCTGTCCCTGCTGGGGGCACAAACCACAGGGTTTGAAGGAAGGGACTTGTACCTATCGCTGAGAGTGAGGGAAGGGACTCTGTCGCTGGGGTTCACCTGGTAGAACACCATTTACTCCAAGCAGTGTCTTCACCCAAACATTTTAAATACGCTCTGCCCAAGCGAACCTGTTCCACTCCCAGATCCCTGCACCCCTCGGGGGCATGGATGTAACCCAGGCTGCTGACAGGAAACAACTTCCCTTGGCCTCTATTAGATGAAGATAAAATAAACCTGTTTGTGCCTCACACAGGCTGCCCAGAGGGACACGGCGTTTAAACTACCTGCGATGGGGACACATCACGCATCTGACAAAGGTAGGACCTGTAAAGTCTACCCTGCCTTCATATAAACTGAGATATTTTCTTGAAGCTTGTGTGCCTGAAAGCCTGAAAGCCTGATCTCAGTTTGGCCACCACTTCAACAAGCAGAATTCTGCTCTGGTCAGAAGGAACGTGTTTCCCTTTCCACCTCGTGTCTCCTGACTCATGTTCTGCTTGGACACCTGTAACACTGCCCCTTTGGAAACGACAACAGGGAGACCTCAGGAACTGAGCATTACATGAACAAGTGCTTCAAACTTACGTTGTTACAGTAAAATGCATAGAACACGCCCGACACGTAGCAGCCCAGGATGCCGATGGAAATCCCCGCGTAATCCAAGGCCATCCATCGTCGGCTGGTCTTCTCCGAGCGGTGGCAGCAGAAGAGGTGATATCCTACCGAGCAGAGCATACAGACCTACACAAATGTGCAAACAAGGAGGCGTTAATTTCTTAAAAATTGACGAGGAGCATCGCAAACTTAAACTCCGAAGCTCAGAGCGTGCCATCGACCTGTTGTGTGTTTTGCAGCACAGCTTGGTGTAGGCAATTATGATTCCTGCCAGTAATCAACAGACACTAACATAAGCTTCTCTGGCAGATGGAAGAAGGAACAGAAAACTTTGTGAGACTTGCTAACCCCAAGCTGCACAGCTAAAAAGTGACCACAAGGCCAAGAGAGGAGCTAGCACGCGAGGGAGCAGGGCCACGTCTGCACGAGTACAGTGGGACGATGAATCCTGCTTGGCCAAACTGCCACAAGCAGAAGCCAAAGCCCAGTCTGCCCTGATTACCTGGCACCCCCAGTACTGAGGGAGCACACAAGAAGTTAAACTCAATGCACAGGCCACTTATTCGCTCACAGGCTGGCATCTAATCTTTTTCCTGAAAAATGTTATTCATATTTCTCTGCAGCCCTCAGCAGGAGTAAGGAAAAGCACAACAGCAGGGCTTCCCGAGGCAACAAAGGACATCTCCTTGCTTCTAGCAACGCAAAGGCACCCTGTACTCTCCAAGAAATAGGAACAGTTCTCTTCAGAGTCACCCTGTCAAACCTTCTGCTTTTTAAGGAGTAGCATACTGTACAGGAGCTTCAGCAGTCGAACTGAAGTCTGACACACCTGAAGTCTGCTGTTGAGAACAGATTTAATCTGACACAGACACTACAGAGTTAGAACACAAGCCCTGCTGCCGTTCCAGGCCAGCATCAGGCTACGGCCGATTCTCATGTCATGGTGGGTGACCCCTTCCAGCAGTAACTGGTGCTGCCTGGGAGTCACGTTGGACACTGCAGAACCCCAGCGCCCAGCTGGAGCTGTCAAATACGGCCCTGGCTGAGTCTGAAAAACAATTTAGTTGTTTTTCACAGACTCCCTCCTACACCAGCCACGCTCAGCCCTCCCTGGTTTATTCCAGGCACTAAACAGCTCAAAATCAACACAACCACCGAGCTTGCCAGTTACCTTTAAAAGCAATGCCACCTAAAACATGCTGTCCCAGGCCTGGCCTGCGTTGGGCAGTCCTGCTCCACGAGGTGTGTGGAAGCTCCGTGAGGGGGATTCCTCGCCCTCCTTCCCAGAGAAGAGGCTCCCCAAGCCATGTCCCAGCCCACACTGGCTCGGGCAGCCGGGCCCTACCTGGAAGCAGAAGAGGCAGACGGAGCAGATGACAAAGTCCTCCCGGGAGGCGCCGGCGGCCGGCAGGACGGCCGTCAGGTCGTAGATGCCCAGGGTGAAGAAGAGGACGAAGCCGAGCAGGTGGCTCCAGATGTTGACGGTCTCGTTGGAGAGGATGAAGAGGCTGCGAGGAGAGAGAAGAAGGGGCGGTGAGAGGGGTGAGCCGGGCCCGGGGCGCCATGGCGGCGGGGCTGCCCTCACCTCTTGAGGCAGAGGCGGGAGGGCAGGTAGGCCCGGTAGCCGTCGGTGATGTAGGGGTTGTCCTTGAGGAAGAGGGGGATCTGCTCGTAGGTGTAGAGGCGGATGCCGCGGGGCACCAGCACCGGCCAGTACTGGTACCCGCCCAGCTCGATGTAGTGGGCGCTCCGCAGCAGCTTCTGGTGCATTCTGCCCGCCGCGCCGCCTCAGCGCACCGCCGCCCCGCCGGCGCATCGGCCCGGCCCGCCCCGCGCCGCCTCCTCCC